TAGTAGGTATAACAGACTGGCCCTAGAGGGGCTTCGGGGGCAACCAGCCCCACGGCCATTAAGGGCGTAAGCCCTAATCCTCTTACCTACTTGACCACGGAAGGCAAAAGGATTCGTAACAACAATACTAACTTGTTGTTGTCTGGTTGTACCTATAAGGGGCCCCCTAGGGGCTCCGCGCCAGCCACTCTGGAAGGACCAGGGCGGGCTCTATAGCCTAGCCCTTAACAGTAGAATATAATACTTAGTAAAGTCTTCTACTTAATTATACTTATAAACTAGGTAGCTATATTTATATATTTTAATAATAGTCTATAGTTAACTACTATATTAAAGTTTATAGTATATATTATAAGTAAATATAAACTTCTAATTAAAAGATATATTATTATAAAGTTTAATAGTAACCTAAATACTTAATATAATAATACTTTTTATAACTTTAGGGTTAGTATTTTCCCTCTTACCTTAGTATTTATAATATTTATTAATATACTACCTATATATAGGCCTATATTAAAATACTTTAAGATAATAAGCCTAAGTTTACTATCTTAAAATCTAAAAGTACTATTAAGGCCTAAATATTTATAAGATTTAACTATAATAATTTTCTAGATATTTTTTATTTTATTAAAAAATAGATTAATATTAAATAAAGTAAGGATAATATTAAAAAGTAGTATAAATATAAGTATATATTCTAATATAATATTTAACTAATCTAATTATATCTTAACTAGTTCTTTAGAATTACTTTAAGACTATTTTTAAACTTTAATTTAATTAAATAATATTATAAAATAATAAAAGTAAAAAGGCTAATAGCTTTTATAGTAATCTTAGTATAGTAAGTATTTAATAATAATTATAAAGCTTTATAAATTATAAGTTAATTAAACTATACTTACTATATTCTATAGATTATATTATTAAATAGTATAAAGCTAGAAAATTTAAGGCTTAAGAGATAATAAAGCTAGATTTTAAGCTATTTATTATAAGTAATAAAGAAGATATATAATATATCTTTTAATAATATCTACTTACTAGTTAAGTAGGCTTAATAAGGAGATAATAACTATTAAGTAGAGTTAGGATAATCTATTATTAGAGTTATCTATTTAGAGTTAGTATTATTAGGGTAAGTTACCCCTTTCTTTATTTCTATTTAATCCTTTTCTTAAGAGTAGCCTATTTTTTTTTTATAATATATTTTTATATATTAGGCTAGTATTAACCTAATATATTACTTTAAGCTTTTAATATTTAATATCTACTATAATATTATTTATATATTAGGTTTTTTTTTATTATAGTATACCTAGGTACTTAATATTATATAAGGCTTTTATTTTTTAAGATATTAAACTTATATATTAAGAAAATCTAGATATAATTTATTATTAAAAAAAGGATTATAAGATTTTAATATAGTATTAACTAGTTTTTATTTAAATATAGCTAATATAGTATTAATATAAATAAAGCTATTACTTCTTACTTTTTATATAGTATTTACCTAGAATTAAACTACCTTCTTCTTTTATTCTTTATTAATTCTTTCTTTTCTCTTTTTAGTCTATATATTAAAAAAACTCTTTAACTTTTAATAAATTAATTATTATATTAGAATAGTACCTTATCTTAATAGTAACCTTATCTAGCTAGACTTTTACTACCTAGTCTTTATTATCTTTATCTTTTTTAATATTAACTAATAAAGAATAGTTTAATATAATATATAATAAAGTAATAAAGAATACTTAAGAAATATTAAATAAAATAAAATAGATTAAATAATAAGAAAAATAAGCTAAAAAGATAAATATATAAATAAGAAATAATACTACTATTAAAATATATAATAAAGAAGATAATATTATTAAATTCTTACTATTAGAAAAAGAAGAAAGTTTTACTAAAAGAGAAGATCTAGAGATTAAAGTAAGCTTTATTAAAATAGAAAGTCTAGTAAAGTAAGAAAGATAATAGAAAAAGTAAAGTAATAATAGAAGAAAGTAAAGCTAGGTTAAAGAAAATAAGGAAAGAAGGGATATATATTAGGAAGGTAGCTAGCCTAAAATAAAAAAAGCTATTTATATATTTATAAAGAATTAATTACTTTATATTAGTATAGTATTTATATTTTTATTAATACCTATTTATTTTATAATACTTAGTAGTTATTAGATTAGTTATATCTTCTTATATTTTAGATTAATAAGCTATTAATAAAAGTATATATATTAGAATTAAGCTATTCTTTATTAAGAATCTTATTTTATAATAATTAAGGTATATTAAATTATTAAAAGTACTTATAAATAGAGAAGTATATATATTTAAGAGTATTATACCTAACTATAAATATAATAAGTAGTTTAATTATCTTACCCCCTTTCTATCTTTCTCTTTTTCTCTTATTTAACCTTTTAACTTTAATTCTAATATATAGCTACCTTCTTTATTTCTTTATTACTTAATCTTTATTATTATCCTCTTACTTTAATATAAATAATAATAATATAAAGCCTATATTTTAATATAGCTAAAAAGTATAACCTAGATTAAGATAAGTATAATAATAAAGATAAGCTTAGAAGATATTAGAAAGCTTTTAAGACTATAAATCTTATTATTACTTTTATAATTTATAATAGTATAAAAGGCTTTATATTTTTTAATAGGTTTTAATTTAAATTTCTTTAAAAAGAAAAAGGTTAAAAAAAAAGAAAAGTATATTAAATCTTTAATCTAGACTATAAAAAGGGCTATTTTAATTATAAGGTTAAAGGCTTTAGCTTTCTTAATAAAAAGGTAAAGAGGTTTAATAAAAGGTTATAAAAGTAAAAGGTAATAAGTATATTATCTATCTAGAAATATTAATACCTATTTTTTAACTTTTAATATATTTTTATTAGTATAGGTAAGTTAAATACTAGAATTAATAATAAATCTATAATATTTACTAAAAATAATTCTAAGGTACCTATTATAAATAAAGCTAGTTAAAAAAAGAAAGGTAATACTTTCTTACTTATTAGCTTTAATATAGTAGTAAAGGTAGTAAATATATTTAATACTACCTTCTCTATATATAAAAGAAAGGTACTATATTCTTTTAAAGTAGGTAGTAATAATAAAGATAAAGATAATATTAACTACTTTATAATATACTCTAAGTATAAGATTAGCTTTAAAGAGTAGGAATTAAGTAATATTAATAAAGAAGAAGCTAAATCTTCTAATAAGTTAAGTAATATATCCTTAGAAGTAACTAAAGATATAAATTAAGTTAATATTTAGATATTAATATATATAGATATTAATACTAAGTAAGTTTTTATAAAGTAAGCTAGATAAAAAGTCTTATTATTTACTAAGTCTTTTAATAGAAAGTAATTTACTTTTACCTAGGTTTTATTCTTTATTAATATTTAATAGATATTTTTTTTACTTACTAAGATATTAGTAAAGCTAAGTATAATACTAATATATCTAAATAGATCTAGTATAAGGTTAATAGTAAGCTAATTATAATAATCTTTAAAAGAATATAGTAATAGTATAATCTAATATATTTAAAGTATTTATTAATAAATTACTTTTTTATTATTTTTTCTTTTTTTTCCTTTTTTTATATATTTACTTTAAAAATTAGGTAATACTTATAAGTATTATAATAAATATACTAGGCTATTTATATATTAGGGATATTATAGTATATTTAGATTTTTTTATATTAATTTTTAAAAACTATCTAGAGTTTATATTTAAGAATATTTTTTTAAAGCTAGTAATCTATTAGGAAATAAGAAAGAATACTAGAAAATAAGAGAATACTAAGAGATAAAAGAGCTATCTAATTATTAGGTTTAACTATTAAAAGACTTTACTTATATAAGAATATTATATAAGAGGAGTAGTTACTATAATCTATTTACTAATCTTAAAATTTAAAATTTAGAGTTTTTTAATATTATAGTCTATAAGCTACTTAATAAAAGTAATATAAGTTAATTAAAGTTTTATAATATATAAATATAACTTAGTAATAGTATATTTCCTATCTCCTCTTAATACTAAGCTTATTTTATTAATACCTCTTTAAGTAATATATTAAAAATAAAGCTTTTTTAATAATATTAATCTCTATTAACCTAGGTATTTATTTACTATTATACTTAGTAAATTACTTAAACTTTTATTTATAATAATTAGCTATCTTATTATAGTTACTAATATTAGCCTTTTACTTTATATTATATAAATAATTTTCTTATACTATAAAGAATAAATATATATAATAAAAGAAATATTTATTATTTTAATATATTTAAAAATATACTAATATATTATAATATTACTATATATATATTTTTAAAAATATTTTAAATATTCTATATTACTATATAATTAAAATATCTAGCTATATTAAAACTATATTTAAAATATATTAAGTTCTTTTTTAAATAAATTTATAATAAAACTATATAATAAAATATATTATACTTTTTTATTATATTAATTAAGATTTAGATATATTAGTTTAGTAGTATAGCTATTAGAATATTCTAGATATATTAGAATAGTAGACTATATTAATATATATTTACTTACTAGGCTTAGCTATAAGCTACCTATATAGTGTGTTAAAGTTCCCTATAGATATATGTATACCCTATGATATGCTAGCTGATTAAAATGTCTTATCACCTATGTTAGAAAACACCCCCCACGCGCGTAGGTAGTACCCTGTCTAAAAACAGGCCTCACTCGCGTATATAGGTAGGAGTTCCCCTAGTTGCCTTGGTTTGCTGCCTCAGTCAGGCTATCCAGCCGGGAGCCGTCTAGTACCTAGGTATGTAGTTACCTACTCCTATTCATTCTGCCGTTGAATCATTTCGTCCACGTCGCAGAATCAATCTAATTCAACGCCGCCCTCTTCGAGCCCTCTAGCCCTCGCCGACCACCTAGGTTCACTGGCCTGCCACAACATGCCTGCTCTGTGGCAACTCGCACTTGCCGCCAGCTGCAGTGGCAGTCAGGCTGTCTGTCTGTAGTTACCCCCAACCTTTTTTCCCTAGAACCTCTTTTTTGCTCCTCTTTTTGCGCCTCTCTCTCTCCATGCCCGACCCCGCCGAGCCAGATGCATCAATGTTTGCTTCGACTCGATGGCGCCCTTGTCCGACTCGTCCTCGTCCCTATCCGCGGCGCCGCTCCCTTCAAAAGGTGTCCGTCGTACTGCTTTATCTGAGACGAATCGCCACAACCCAGTCCCCCGACGAGGCTCTCATCACATTCAGATCCTCTTCGTTTGCGCCTCTGCGGTAGTCGCCCTCGTATTTTTTGGCCTTTCTCGTCCCCAGTCTCCTCAAGCACAGAGCGAGTCGCTGGTCAACATGGTGAACCTGGCTGCCTCCTTCACCTCCTTCACCTCCTTCGCCTACTGGACGCAGTTTGCCTTTGCTGCTGCCAATGCCCAGGCGAATACCTCGTCTCTTGCCGATATTGTTCCCAGGCGCGATGTTCTCTACGTCGGTGGCGAGTACACGAATGTGACTGTAAGCTTCTTTTTTCACCCCCTCTTAGCCCTATATGTGATAGCTGAGGCTATATGCGATCAACCCGCCCCTCCATCCCTCCATGAACTATATCTGACAACCAGTGTAACCTCACAGGACGCCGTGACCAATGCCACGTCCATCGCCCTCATTGGCCAGATATATGTCGAGAAACTTTCCCCCAACCCGCCTCTGCCCCCGCGCGTCGACGAGCATCGGCCCCTCCCCATCATCTTCATCGCCGGCGCAGCTCAGACTGGCACCAACTTTCTCAACACCCCCGACGGCCGCCCCGGCTGGGCCTCGTACTTCCTAAGCAAGGGCCACACCGTCTACCTCTCTGACCAGCCCTCGCGTGGCCGTTCCGCCTGGCAACCCGGCGGCCCGGGCAAATTTGGCACCATCGGACCTCCCCAGGTCGTCTCCGATATCTTTACAAACACGGCCCAGAACGGCAACCAATGGCCCCAGGCTAAGCTGCACACCCAGTGGCCGGGCACCGGCCGCATGGGCGATCCGACCTTTGATGCCCTATACAGAAGCCAGGTTCCACTGCAGACCAACCGTTTCATCAGCGAGGAGCAGAATGCGCGGGCCTACGCTGCCCTCGTCGACATTGTCGGAGAGTGCTTTGTCATCAGCCACTCCCAGGCTGGTGCATACGGTGTGTTTGCACGAAATGCTCAACTAGGTAACCAGTGGAGACTGACTGAATAGGCTGGCGCGTCGGCGACTTGCGCCCCAACCTCGTCAAGGGCATCGTCCAGCTCGAGCCCTCAGGACCGCCCTTTACCCTGCGCCCCCCGTTCGGCACCGACCCGGCCTTTGCCTTTGGCTTGACCGACCTGCCCATCGCCTACGACCCGCCTGCCGGTCCCGCCGCCGAGTTGATCAAGACGCTCATCCAGCCCGCGGTTGACAAGGACCACGACGACTGCATCATGCAGACCCTCCCCGTCAAGAAGCTCACCAACCTTGCGCGCATCCCAGAGCTTGTCGTCACCGGCGAGGCCTCCTTCCACGCCCCCTACGATTATTGCACCGTCGCCTACCTGCGCCAGGTCGGCGTGGACGTTGAATACGCCGATCTCGGCAAGGAGGGCATTCACGGAAACGGCCACATGTTCTTCATGGAGAAGAACAATATCCAGATTGCCGAGCGGGTCTACCAGTGGCTGCAGAAGCACTAGACCAACATTTGGTATGGACATAAACGGAAAGGCTGAAGCCGAAACTGGTGTATATAGTGAGGCAGCGTTGCATATAAAGTTTGATCCATCTACGTTGAACATACTATAGACTATCATTGTATGACTGTTCGTCCATGAGCGACAAGGTGCACCTATTGCATTCTCAGAGCCTAGCGAGAAAAGAGTCACATCCCTGAGTGGTGTCACAAGCAAGTAGCCGCTATTCGCAAGACCAATGCCGACGATCCTGGCTCTCGTAGTACCTCTGACCCGGATGATATCACCTCCAAAAACAGAGGAAGTTGGATAACTTGGGATATATCTTAACTTTTCCTTTTTATCTTTTTTCCCTTGTTTTTTGTGCGCGCTAGATGCAACCTTGGAATACCGGGTAAAACGTCCATAACCACGTCTACCCTAGAAATTGGTGAAAGGACAAGACACCAAGCAGGGATGAGCCAAATAGCTTCTTAGCCAATGAGAAGTAATTGAAACAATTGAGAGGCGTCAGATTATTAAGTATCGGTAAATGACTACTGGCGTTTATGGTAATAAAAGCATGCATGGCCGTTTTGTGCTGCTGGAGGAATCGGGGAATTAAGCAACTAACACAAAACCATCCCATCAAAGCTTGTACAAAGTCCACCGCAGCAACTGGGCACAATGGTAGAGAGAGAACGGAGAAGACTCAATTAACAAGCGTCTTATTCCCTGATCGAAATGTCTTGAGCCTTGACAATATTTCTTTTGACCGGACAGCTTGCGCAGGCGGGACCTTGCGAACCGCTAGGAACGGGGCGAGGCAAAGGAGTGGGCTGAGCATTGTTCAAGTTGTTCCACATACGCTGGCTATGTAGGTTGGCAAAGAGAAAACGATTATTCTGCCTGCCTTGTAGGGGGCCTTACAGGAGCTGAACTGCAGCCTCGTGCAAGCCTCCAGAGAAACGTTTTTAACTTGGCAAGCGCCGTGGGAGAATCTGTTGAAACGGCGTGGCTACAGGTGACTCTTCGTCAGCTTGGTATTGTTGTTCATCATACTGTACAACTGTAATTGAATCCAAAAAAGGATCATCAGAATAACAGAGATGGAGAAGGGTTGGTCCGGGATTTGGACGCTTTCAATGAATGTGTGATTTAACCCGCCGTCTTCGGTTGATTTGTTGCAACCAAAAAGTGCCAGACAAAAACAGGAAAAAATAAATGAAAGAGGCGTATAATCCTCCCCCGACAAGGTTTGAACTTGCGACCTTCAGATTAACAGTCTCTTGAATGATTGTTAGCATTAACAGAGCAAATGGAGCGGATCCTGTGGTGTCAGACGTACGACGCTCTAGCCAACTGAGCTACAGGGGAACCAGTTGTGGCCACGACCAACTTGCAACACTCCATATAACTACCGCGATCGGGATGGCATAAGGCGGACGTCATCAATTCATTAATATTCACAAGCACAAGTACGAAAACTCCTCGAGGGCGCTCTGAGCGAGCCCTTGGTACGCCCCCGAGCACCGGAAAATCCAAATCAACTTGTCAAAGCAGCAACTCCTTCATGTCTTTCATCCAAACACTCCAGCTCACAACTCGCACCCGTCTCAGTGCCCGTGGTACATCGTCCGTCTAATTCTCCATGGCCTCGGCGCGTGAGACACCAGCAACACTCTGGTGATGCTGACCGCCAATGGTCGCGCCACATTCGGGACAGCGCGCCTGCTCCATCGGCATCCCACATTCGCCAATCGCAAACTGGATGCCAAAGTTAGCTATCAACAACGCGGGTGACGCCCCATTCCGGAAACACATACCGGGTGTCCATTGACGCAATTGTACCAGTGACCAGAGTGCGTCGCCATTCCACCGCGCCCGCTGAGCATGGCCTTTTTGATCGATGCAATCTCTTCCGGGCTGACGGCCTCATACCGGTCCGCCTCCAGTAGCCGCCTGGTTTTCCGAACCGCTTCCTTCAACGTATCGGCGTCCTGGAAAGGCTGCTCGCACAAGCGGCTTGCTGTCTCGAGGTTTTCCCTCGCTTCGCCCAGCAAACCGCTCGCGTTCGCCTTGCCTTCGTCGTCCAAACGCGGGCTGAACCGATACATGTGCGCCATTCGGGCATGATACAGCATAGCCTCGACGGCGAGTTTGGGCAACGCGTCGGCACGGCAGCGGGTAATCAGCGATGCGCAAGAATCCAGAAACAATTTGGCGCTTCGTAGCGGAGAACCACCGGGCCATTTCGGTGCCTGCGAGAGGTTTGCCTTTTTCATTGCCGACAACAGGTCGAACATGTCTTCCAATATGATGAATCCCAGCTTGACATCTGCCATCTCGCCGGCAAGGGCCACACGACAATCTCTCTCGCGGCGCTGAGGTGGGCTCTGCAAGGACAGAGCTGCGAAGCCGCCGTGTAAAGTATCTGATTCAGTTCTTCGCAGCTTGTGAATTGTGGCTTCGTAAAGCTTATGATACGGCTGATATCTATCCGAAGATCCCTTGCAGAAATCTTGTATCTCGCGACGCAGCTTCAGGCTTTTCCCATAACGAATCCGCAGGCGCTGGTCTAGGGACTCTCTCTGACCTGCTGCCAGAGTAATGATTCGCATAATTCCTGAATGCGATTCGATGAGCTCCTCTTGCAGCTTTTCCAGCTTCAGGTTGATAACTTTCAGTTTCTCTTTGCCTGCGACTAGAAACCTTTTGGCTGACTCGTCCGCGACTGCTCTGTTGACGATTCGATTGTAGCGTCGTGTCGCGTACTGCCTCACCGGACGCTTGCAATCCGGACACCGCGGTGTCTTGGCAAATTCGCCAGAAAGCTCAACCAAGCCCGTGAAACGACCTTCGCGATCAGACGCATATGCCGTGCTCATGCCCACGAGTCCGTCCAACGTCTCCGCCGTGAAAAAGTGTCCGCAGCCGAGAACGACGATCGGGTCCACGTCCACGTCAATGTCGGCATATGTCTTCATTTCGAGCAGATCAACCCGCGAGTCCTGCGACTTGCCACAGTCTTTGCACAGGTCCTCAGGGCAGTCTTCGCCGCAGATTCCTGGGCAGCGATGGCCGCAGGGAAGCAACTCAGCGCACCTTTCGTTGCAGGGCAGTCGGGTGCATGTTGCTGAGCACGGCATCGCACAGGAGCCCTGGTGCTCGCAGGACCACTCGCACTTTTCTACACAAGGAGTGCACCCTTCGCTACAAGTCGCTGCGCATGCCGAATGCTGGCATCGTACCTCGCAGGGGGCAACACACAGACCACACTCGGTGCCTACATGACACTTCTTGCGACAGTGGTGATTGCATGTTCCAAACGGTCTCTCGCAAATCGTTTGGCACTTTTGATGAACCATCTTCTCGGTTTCGTCGTCAGCTTTTACTCGGCAGCTGCCACAGGTTCCAGGACAAATGTGGCCACATGGCAACGAAGTAGAGCAAGGTACTGGGCATTGATAGCCTTCTGCCGTCACCGACTCGAAGCATGCCACATTCACTGTATGGTTGCATTTGAGTGAAATCTTCTCGACAATGACGTTGCAGCGAATTGATTCGAGGTTTTGCGCCTCGTGACATGCTACCGTGTCTTTTTCATGACCGCACGGCAGCTTGACATCATTAAGCGGCACGAGACACTCTCCGCAGTCTTCGCCGCATGTTGGCTTCTGACACCCATGTCCGCATGGCTCATGTAGCCGCTGGCAAGGCTGTGGACAAGAAAATATATTGTGCATACTCTCCGAGTGGCAGCGCGCCATGCACATGTGCCCACAGTCGGCGAGGCGCCAAGCGCAAGTCTGGGAGCACCCTCCTTCGGGACTGTGCCGGGAAAAGTCGCCTGGCTCATGTACATTGATTGATGTTGTTTTGTGCCGCGGGCAGCACAATGCAAGGACTTTCCCCACAGAATGAGATGCTCGCATGAGCTCAATCACAGTCTGCCACATCTTGACGTTTGCATAGGTCTCAGTGTTTCCGATGAGGTACATTCCATGTTGCGCTCGGCTGAGAAGAACATTGATTCGGTTCGTCGTTTTCAAAAAGCCGACCTTTCGCGCCTCGTTGCTTCTGACCAGAGTTACAATCACAACTTTTGCTTCTTCACCTTGAAAGTTGTCCACCGTGGCCACGCGCAGCAGATCACTCAACTTCTTCTTCGCCAGAGCGCCTTTGCGTTGTCTTGATGGCAGATTTTCTGGCGTGCCGGATTCCGAATCGAATTCCGCACCATCAAAGCCGTCTTTGTTCAACGCATCCTGATCTCTGTCGCTGAGAACCACCTCAAAGTCATTACGCATCGCAGCTCGAAGCTTTTGAAGCTGCCCCGTATATGGCGTCAGTACGGCAATGTCACTGCTGCTGTATACTCCTTGGCGAACAATATGGCGGACGAGTGCGTGGACCATGCTAACCTCCCAGTCGTTGGAATGCGACCTGTGGTTCATCTCGGCGGAGGCGCCCGCCTCCAAATGGCCGTGGTCAAGCCAAAATAGATTCTTTCGCATGCCCACCACGTCTGGGAGGTTGCACGTACTTGGGTGGTCTTGGATCTTGGGATAAATCGTCTCACGTATAAGCGAGGATATGGAGGGACGCATGCGCCGCTGCACTTCCAACTGGGCAACCGGGATTTTGGGTCGCCCTGGAATCCCGACTGAGAGTCGCTCGAACTGGCTGCGGTCAAGCTGGTACAACATTCCTTGCTTGCTCTCTAACGACAGGCCAAAGTTGTTGATTTGCGGCCGCAACTGCTCATGGTCTCCAATCTGAATAATCTGCTCCACGGTCGGAAGTAGTGCAGAAAGGATGTGAGGCTCCATCACCTCTCCTGCTTCTTCGCAAATAACAACTTTGCATTTCAGTCTCTGGAGAGTTGATACTCGCTTCGCCAGGCCCGTAGTCGTGATACCAATGACATCGGCTTCTTGAAGCACTCTTCGCTCGACTTCGGAATGAACATTTGATACCTGTTGATGTTCTGCAGAGGCACCACCAATCGCATCGACCAAGTCATCCACGGCATTCTTGTATTTATCCATGCTCCAGAAGTCCATTAGATGTCGGCGTTCAGATGCAACAAGAGAATTGACGTTTGTAGAAGCCTTCCGGAGAAGAACATCTGAATCCATCTCCGTCGAGGCACCATGGTTTTGAGTCGAGTCCGCATTCGTCGCCAACGATGTCCATATCTCAAAAGGGTGTCGTCCCACTATTTCGAATCCGTCTTCATCTGTCTCTGCAAATTGGGCAGCTATATGTGGGTGGTACTGTGAAAGGTACTGTTCCATGTTTTTCCACTTCATCTCTCGCAATGCACCATGCACCCTGCCAAGTATCTTGTGGATGCTCTCCGCTGCGGAATCCAGTTTGCTGTAGGACATGGAAAGAGTATAGCTCTCAACTGAGCTTTTGGACTCAGAGTATGAAACTTCCCGAAGATTGTGTCCCGCTAGAATGGTTGAATGACTCTGGCCACCAATGCGGATGATTTTTTTGGTGCCATCTTTCAGTATATGCTCAAGAAACTGGTCCAGAGCATGGTTTGTGTAGCATCTAGCGTTTTCTGCCATCAGCGGTGATTTTATGAAAAAGAGTACGGCGTGACTTACACAACAACAATGGGCCCGAGTTTTGCTCGCTCCTGGCAGTTCAGCAACACCTTCATCAGTTTGATGCCAAGATAGGATTTCCCAGTCCCGGGAGGTCCCTGAATTAGTGCAACATAGTGCCGCGATCAAGGCTCGGCACTGCCCGCGATCGAGATCTGTTTCGGCCTCAACTCTGCCAATGAGTGCTTCAGGGTCCGAGATAGAGCCCGGTGCAATTGAAAGATTGGTCTCGCCGCCATGAACTCCTTTCAGAATAGGCTTTAGAGAAAAGGCGAAGCCGGGTTTGCGTGCATACCGAGGTGGCGGTATATCCGCAGTCATGACTCCAAAGTCTTGTTTCGTTCTTTCAGGGAGGATCCATTCTTGAAATGGCAGGGATCCGAGCCGTTGCATGCTCTGCATATTTTCAAGAATCGGCGTAAAAGTCGCGGGAATCACGCCTGGAAACTCAACAAGGACGCCCAGCGCTTTGGAGCTGCTCAGACGCACCAGTGTCTCAACGTCTGCTTGGGAAGAACTCGTGAGTCTCAATGCGATGGTGGCGCGACGGCCTTCCTTCGTGAGATTTTCGCCCACCTCATCGTTAGTCTTCTTTCTGCTGACTATGAAGAAAAGGTGCTGAACTCGGCCTTGATGAGTCGCGATAAATGATACAAGTACTCCCTCGGAAAGACGCCTTGACTCTTCCCACCATTCCTGCCTCTCATAAACTTTTTTCTTTTGAAGGTTTTTGGGTTGAGAAAAAGATACTTCCGCCTCAAGTCCACGGCGGTTGTCAAAGTCCACGTAGCGTATGACGGCTTTGGAATAGCGATTTGCTCTGAGGCTGCCGAAGCTCAGCTGGGGACTGTGTAGATAGGAGAGATTTGCTTCCGTGAGACGTAGTATGTTTGCCAAAACATCCTTGAGCTCGCCAAAAGTATCCTGGCGGAGGAGACGAAATAGCGTGTCAATGTGTCGCTGAGATTTGTCGGTGAGAAAATGGGGCTGTTCGGGATCGGTTGATGGGAGATACTCGACCGCCTCGCTCATTATCTCAGCCCGCGTTGGAAAGATTTCAATTGCGGCAACATCTGTCTTGTCATTATCGTGACGGCCGCCCGGTGGATGAAGCACACGAGGATAGGCCGACGCCGGCGTGTCTGCAAAGTCGGTGGCGCTACCATCTTCCGCGATCAGCAGCCCTCTTGCTCGGCCTACAACGGCTCGAATCTCTCCAACATGGTGAAAGAGCTGAGCCGAGGTGCTGACCAAGCCTTGTACCTCGAGGCTAGTCGCCAAGTCGTGAATTGATTCGATGAGGGGAGGAACGTCGTCGTGTAGTCTGGCGCGCTGTTCCCTCTTGAGGACCTCTCGCAGTGCGGTGGAGAGGGCAACGGCCGCCGACTCTACCTCTGCACAATCCCCACCGAGGATTCCAGGAACTCTTTCGAGAACTTGGCCGCAGAATCTCTGCAGCGCTGGGACGGCGCGGCTCCCGTTGGTGCCGCTGAAGAAATTGTACAGACCACCGACGTAGGTGTCGATGGAGAGACAGTCGAGAATGGACGCGTGTGTCATCGTCTGGAGAAAATATTGCATCGCAGCGTATACTTGATGAGTGGTTCGTAAAGACATCACATAAGAGATCATCTCTTGAATGTGCCTGCGCCCGTAAAGCTCGTCATCGTCGAGATCCTTTGCCAGGTTGTGTTTCCAGCCCTTGTCTTGGCCGTTGAGAATCTCGAGAGCTCCCCTCCATAGTCGCTCGGCCGTCAGTGCATCGTTTTGTCGAGGTTCTTGTTTGATTATTCTCTTCCATGAGTTGTAGTCTGCCCTGACCTGCTGTTGTTCTGGGGTTGTTTGTGTAGGCCGGCGACTGTGGACTGGTTGCTGTTCACGGCCTCTCGACGAAAGATCATGCGAAAATCGACACTGGGAGCCAAAGCGACAGGTTTGCCCCCTCTGGACAAAATTGCACAATCCCTTTACTTCGTTGAGCCCCGCCTGGGGTCTCATGTTGGTTCCCCCACGCCCTCCTCGCCATCCACCTCGGCCTCTCGCGTTGCCGTTTGTATTTTGGGGCCAAGATCGCATATCGGGGAAGAGTGACCGAATACTGATAGTGTCGGAGGAAAAGTAAGATGGAACAAGACGAAAGCTGATACCGGTGCGTTTTATGAGCAGATGATGGTAACCGCAGAGCTGCGTTTGCAGAGCTGCGTTTGCAGAGCCGTGTCTGCAGCGCAGCACAGGCAATTCACTTGTTGATGAGCGCTCAAAGTTACTGTACACACCCACCTTGTTGGACTGAAATGAGAACCAGCATCAGACTTTTGTCAACGGTCGCATAGAGCGTGCAATGTGTCCGTCGGCTCCGATGTAGTGGTACACTTTTACGTAGGAGGAGGTTCAAAACAAACCACATGCGGGGTTCTAGAACGTGCATACAGCTGCCTAGAATTGGCCAAGGATGCCTCGTGTCGAGATTGCATATACAATGGTAGAAGAAATCGCAAGAGCGGCAATGGTGATGTTGGAAATGAAAAAAAAACCCGGGGTTCTTTTGATACTATCTATCATGTACGGTGCACCATTGATGCCACCTTTTGCAAAGTTGCGTTTTGGCACTTGCGCACTTGAATTCCGTGATTCGCTCCACATCACACCACATCACACCAAAACACGGCATCTTTATCATGTACAATGAGTGGCCTTGATATATACTCCTAAAAATGTCAACCTAGCGCCAATATGCCGACAAGGATCATTCAATGTGCTTCTCCGTGCGATCAAGCCTGCTGTTCACGCTCGCGCTTCACAATATAATACGTAATCAGACTCTTTGGGTCATCCTTGATTCCGCTCAGCGCTTCCCAAAACGTCGCCTCGCCGACGCGCGTGTGAAGTGCCACGCAAAACTTAACCGCGTCCATGCGCACGCCCGAGTTGGTCGACTCCAGACAATGACTGGCCAGGCCCGTCAGTTGGTCCAGCTCACCCGACGTGGGCCGAAACTCAGTGCGCTTGTCGAGCATTTCTTTAAGGACATGGAGGCCCATGCTGAGGCTGCGGCAGCCCTCAGTGGTGGCGTCGGTGATGCCATGTAGTTGACGTGTCAGGACAACGACAATCTCGGAGCCATCGCCGATGCCGACGAGTTCATCTGCAAGAAGCTCCAAGCCGCTAACAACGTGTGCCCGAGAGTCGTATGCACTGCGCGTCTGTAGCAGAGCCTCAAGACCTTGGGAGACGTGGGGCTGAAAATTATCTCTCTCTTTCTTGAGCAAAAGCTTGATGGTAGCAAGGATCTGCGCCTTGATATCCTGACCCTTGTCGGACGGTAGGTTGGAAAGAGGGTTCTCGAGATATCTGAACAGACCAACTAAAAGGGCTTCAAACTTGTCGTCGGTAAACATGGTCCTGCTGTCCCTAATGAGCGACTGCAGTTTGCGGAACCCGTGGACCTCCAGGGACATGGCCTTTATCTTGGCGATGCCACTATCCAGAAGTCGAGAGTTCTGGCGCATCTTCTCAGGCGATTCAGGCTCCATTGGAGCCGCCGTCAGTTCCGCTGCCTTTTGAAGCTTGGCTGCATCTTCGTTGACAGCCTTCTCCTCGAGCACAGGAGCTGACACTTCGAGCTTCGGCGTAGTTTGCATTTCGGCATCAGGGTCCTCATACACTTTCAGTGACTCAGTATGCGGTTGAGGCTCAGCATGGCGAGGAATATGGGCTACCACTCGTGTTGGCGTAACAGGGACATTCGCATCGAGCTCATCATTATCGACAACAATGGTCGAAGCAGACTCCAGGCTTGGCATGCTAGGCACAACCAGGCTGATATCCTCGTGCACCTTTGTGGGCGACGGACGAAATGGGATTGTTTTACCAGGGCTGTGGCGGCTCGGACTTGATCCGAGTGTGTCCTCCTGTGGCATTCTAAGCATTGCGGGGCTGGTTCGAGGAGAGACTACTCTCGGTTTGGCTCCGAGCCTGGAACTAGGCGAAGGAATGCTAGACTCACTACCGTGGGAAACATGGCCAGGATGAGTTCGGGAAACCGCCTTCTTAGGCGTGGAGTCCTTGACAACTCGCGGCGTCTGGCTCCTGGATTTGAGAGAGTCAGGACTATTGATCTCCAAACCAGGCTGATCACGAACGGAGTATGGTCCAGCAGTGGCGGGTCTGGCGACCTCGGGGCGTCTCCTGGACGGCCGCATAGGCGCAACCGACATACCACCAGCATTCACAGAAATAGTAGATTCTGCTTTCATACGGCTTGCGGATTTCGGTGCACCGGTGTGAGCAGGCTGTGTGGGGTGTGTCGAACTGTTTGATGTGCGTGCTGGCGATAGCTGCGCCATTGCTGAGCCGGGACGCGGCGGCAACTTCTGAGCAGCCATGGCCCGCTTCTGGGCCAGCATTGCCTCGCGTATATTGGGTCTGCTTGCCGTCTTTCCAGTTCGAGAAAGGCTGCTGCCAGGTCTAACGGCCTCAGACTTCTTAGGAGAGTTGGGATTGCTGGGATCCTTGTTGAGAAGCTTTTGAGCGGTAGCATCCAGGTCCTCCATAATGGCGTCTGCTCTGGCTGGCCACACAGACCAAAACATCCAATATGTAGATCTCATCTTTTCTCGGACGCCAGGATTGGCATCAGCCAGGCCTTTTTTCAGACACTTTTCGATGAGGTCAACTCCGCCCGTATGTTCGATATGATGCTTGTTGCCCGACGTCTTCTTGATGAGCGTTTTGAGCCAGCCACTGGTATAGAGACGTGGTTGGATATTCTTGTCCTGGCAAGCGCTCCAGATGTGTTGCATTATGCGAGGTGTGTAGGAAATGCGGCTAATGATGGTGTCGATTGTCGAACCTGTCATTTGCGAGGTAATTTTCTTCGTTGCCGCAGTCATCTTGAGTAAAGCCTGCATCAGCAACTCAACCATGGGCTCCATGGCAGGGCCAAGAGTAAGAGCGATATCCTCAATCAGAGCACAGGCTTCCTTGGACAGACTCGTTCGCAACGACGTCAGAGACTTGATGATGCCATCGAGCATGCCACGGAGGCCGTTGACGAACATGTCTTGAAAATCGGAAGCAGCATTTCCGGCATTCAGTCGACGGAGGGTGGTCATGCCCTGCTCTCGCTTTTGCCAATTCTGCTCTGTTTCGCGGCCTTCGTACTGCCAGGCCATGCCCTTGAAAATTTCATCTAGTTCGCGGTTGGTATTAACGTATTGGGGCTCGACTGGGTCCGCCTGAGACTCTGGTACAGCTGGGGTCATGGGGCGCTCGCTCGACATGGACGATACGCTGGCGGTAGGAAGCGGTCGACTGGCTGGCGCGGGTGCAGATGGTGTTTCGGAGCGCATGCCGTTCGGGGCTAGTTCTTTGATGATGGCCTGTTCGATCGCGGGTCTGACTTTGTAGTTTTTGAGCTGTCGCTTGAGGTCGGACTTGGCAGTGTTGGGCGCATTTCTACAAAAGTTAGAATCAATTGTGTTTGGTGTGAGCACAGCACGTACCGGAAGAGCTCAATGACTGTGTGCTTGGCGGCATCTCGGACCATGCCGTCGGCGTCCTCGAGCAGCTCCATAAGCAGTGGGACGTAGCCTCTAAATTGCAAGCCGTGATCTTGGTGCATCTGCTCTGCAGTCAGTGAGGGTGGCCTCGCTCAGAAACGCGTGTCGTACCTGGAGAAGCCAATGCAGGCCAGCTTCTTTGGCGCGGGGGTTCTTGCCCGACATGGCCGTGGTGCGAACCACGCGCTCAACCTCGCCAGGGTTCACTGCGTAGATGGTGGTGAGCGCCTGCGAAGCCAGTGTGCGGTACTTGTCCTTCTGGTCGCCCAGTTTTTCGATGACGACGGGGAGGGTGCGAACGGCCTCCTTTCCAATGTGCTTGGGCTCCTGGCGCGAGAGTCGCGTCAAAAGGTGGCCCAGGGCAGTGAAGCCGGCGTTGACAAGGACGGCATGCTGGGCGGTGGTTGCATTGCGCAGGGCCTCGAAAAGCTGTGCGATACAGGCCTCGGGGACGTTGTGCTGCTTGATGGCCGACTTGACGTTGGTCACGGCATTGACCTTGTGGTCGAGGGGAGCATTGCTGCGCAGCAGGTCAACCAAGTCGGCGACCTGCTGGTCTGTGAGGCGTTCAGCCATTGTGAGAGGACGGAAGCTTGGTGCCTTGGCTATGAGATGTGGGTGCCTTCTTCGGTTGACGTTGTGGTCTTGTGCTAGCTCTGCGCGGCGCAACGACTGCGCCAAATCAGTTAGCAACGTGGCGCGAACAATGCAACGGCAGCTAGGCGATGATGAAAGGTCCGAGGTCTGGCAAAAAGAAACCAGCGGCCGGTAGAGAAGCGGGACAGCTACGCAGGCATCAGGGGGAGATTAGGTGCTCACCAAAAAAAAAGAAGGAGGGGTCGGTTCCGGGGATCAAGGGTAGCTCGGAGGAATTGAGTACTTGCACGCGAGGCGACTGCGCGGGCAGCAGGTTCGCTACGCGTCTGGAGCGAAATGTCAGGGATTGAAGCAAGGAAAATGAGATTTTGAACGGAATGACACTGTCATCTGGAAGCGAGCAAAATAGTGAGAGACGGAGTGAATGGCGAAGCCAGGCGGATGTTGTTAGCAAAGGGAGGGCGCGGCAGGGTGGCATACTGGCCGAATATTTACTACCTCGCTGGTGGTTTAGGACAGCCTGTACGGAGGTACCTGGCGCGACTTGCTTGTCCAGCCAAAGAGGGGCAGAAAACACCGCGGGGGGTGTGGAGTGCAGGTACCTAGAAAGTACTACTGGGCGGCCGCCTGGGCGACATCAGTTTTCGTGTTTACCCCGCGTCGCCATGCCAATGCCCGCCTTTGTGTACTTGCCACCATCTGGCGATTTTTAGCGAAGCAATCGACTTCTGCTGTGCTGTGGTAATTCACATCAGCATGTTGATTCAATAACTTGTAAACATAATCAAATATCCTAATTCAATTACACTACTCAAGCGCATGGCCAAAGTCAAATGTGAGCTAGATTAAGCGATTATTGATTAAATACAATACTAAGGTAAGGTAACGACTTCTAAAGGGTCCTTTAACTTGAGCTATCAGTTTATGGGCAGCTTAACATAGCATCTGAAGGCTACGCTTCGAGTTTGACAGCCAAGTCATGCCTCTATTTAAGCACAATCGGTTTAATTGGAAAGCCCGCACTGATCCTGGCAGTCTCCGCATGCGACGCAGCTACCGCTAAAGCCGCAGTCAAAGCAAAGGCCGCCAGAGACCTTGTCGCACGCTGTATATGTCCACGCCGCATTGGTTGTAGATTTGCGGTGCACGCAATAGCCGTTTTCCTCGCGGGGCGCGGCGTCGACCTTGAAGGTCTTGGAGACCATCCAGGGCGACCTCTTGCCGTCCTCGCAGACAAAGGCGGCCTTGTACTCGCCGACGCCGAGCTCCGAGTGCTTGAACTTGATGGTGCGCAGGTCGAAGCCCTGGGTGGGCTCGACGTACTGCCACGTCTTGAAGTCGGCCCAGTACGGGTTGCAGGCGTCGACGGGCCAGACGCCGACCCAGGCCCGGGTGTCGCCGCATCCGGGGCTCGGCGCGAAGTAGTTGATGACGGTCTCGGTGGCGCTCAGCCACTGGCTCAGGATCTCGTTTTGGCTTCCGTCTCCCGCACGGTGCAGGAGAGTCGGCTTGCCGAGAGCCGGCTGCAGGGCGCCCAGAAGAAGGACCGCGGCGTTGGAGAAGTGCATGGTGATGTGAGGAGGAGTTGTGGGCTGCGGCGATGAAGAGTGGTTATGTGCTAGGTTGGTGGCGAGGAGCTGGTATGAAATGATCCGGGATTGCGATTGATGATGATGAGAATTACGAAGGGGATACGAATATCTTTTATATTCTCGGAATGCGGAAATTTTAGTTTCGCCTTGCAAGCTGACGATATATCAGTAAGCCGTTCCCATAGCTTGGTGGACCTATATTCAGCGCACACTAATATCATCGCCTCATTTTGAATTTCCGCAAACTGAAAGAAAGGATGGAGTCTAATTTACTTCCTCGATGGCCAGTAGCTGAAGTGTTGGCCTATTGATTCCTGGTACCACAAGTAGCATAAGCACCAACCTCATCCTATCTTACAGTGACGTAGTTTAACTTGCGCAGATTAATACGTTATTAGTATAATTTGCGGTCAATGTACTAAACTGAAGATTGTGCGTGAAACGCCAATCCAAACAAGTACACTCGATCCTGTGCGTGTTCCTATGCACAGATCCTGACTTGATAAACACAACCTGTCGTCTGAGTCCAGCAAACTCCTAGTTCAGCCACTCAAATACGCAGGGGCGAGAGGAGAATTTTCTTCGGAAACAAATGGCACTGTCCGGACTTGCCGTTTATAATACTGTGAATGCTAACTATGCCAGGGTGGTCTATTTTGACGTCTTGGCGTGTCCATAGCCATGAATCGCGAGCCGCCTTATCCAGAGATAGGCATGAGAAAGTGGTCGCGTGCCGTGTGGGACAAATTGAGCCCCCACGCTAGAACTGCCGGTAAGGCTTTCTTCTCCCGCCTAGTTAGGTAGTTGTTGTCCCGAGTGAGCGGTGCTCTTGCAAGGTGTTGCATGAAGAATCCATCTGCTAGGTATAAGTGTCTAATGAGCGTCCACTTCCACGCGCCTTACTAGTCTTGCATTCGGTTCATCCCATATCGTAGCTACTACTTATTACTAAAAGGAGCTACTAAATAGTGGACACAGAATCGCATAGAATGATGTATTTACTCGTCATCAAACAAAAAACCAAGTCACAATCGGACCGCGTCGGCTCTCCCACCTAGCGTCTCACCCCACCTTTTCGCATCGTACCACATCTTGGCGGCGGACTCTCATCCTCCTCACCCTCACCGGTTACCAGTTGCCAAAACCTCATCTAGAATGGGGTTCGCATCTTCCCAGATTGCCCCCCCGTCGTCCACCATGAGCGCGCCACCGCCCACATCCTCGGCCATCCCCCCTCACCTGCGGCCGCCCGCGCCGGCTGCCTCCCCCGCGCATCACGGCGGCCACCACTTCGCGCTTCCCAAGCTGCGGCTCGAAGTGCGCGACCTCGAGTCCACGGGCGCGCTGCGCGCCCTCGCCGCCCTCAACTTTGGCGAATGCGTGCGCGCCTGCGCCCAGGACGTGCTCCGCCAGCTCTACCAGCACCCCGGCAACGCGCCCTGCCCGCTGCCCACGACGCGCTCCGTCACCCTGATCCTGCGCGACATGGACGGTGTCGCCTACACCGCCGGCACCGAGCTCGACCCCGACCACAAGGAGATTCACCTCTCCACACGGCACATTGACAACCAGAGCCCGGAGCGCATCCGCGACGAGCTCTACGGCGTCGTCACCCACGAGCTCGTCCACTGCTTCCAGTACGACGGCCGGCATACTTGCAAGGGCGGCCTGATTGAGGGCATTGCCGACTGGGTGCGCCTGCGCTGCGGACACGTGCCGCCGCACTGGAAGCCCCGCGCCGAGGGCTGTGGCTGGGACGCCGGGTACGAGACGACGGGCTACTTCCTGGACTGGCTCGAGACGCAGTGCGGCGAGGGAACAGTGCGGCGCATCAACGCAAAGTTGCAGGCGGATAAGTATGAGGAGGAAAAGTTTTGGCCCGAACTGTTTGGCTCGACGATTGATGAGTTGTGGGAGACGTATGCCGCCTCGATTAACTAGGTGAGAATTCGTAAAATGGCATAGCATCTAATAGCATCCAATAAGGGACTGGCGTTTCAGCGGCATCTAGAATGATAAGGATTCATGGGATTGAAACCATCCAGTACTACTTTCTCTACGTCTTTGGTATTCACCATCACCATCCATCTTTTCCCAATTCTCCAAGAACCCTTCATAGAACAAGGCGCCTAGACGCGGATCCAGCGCGCTCGTCGAAGCGCGCACCGAGTGCATGCTCAGTTGCGTTGCACGATGCCCGCGTCCGTCGCCCGGCAGCCCTTCACGCGCTGGACAAGACCGGTCCAATGCTGCCCCCCCCCCCCGCGTCGTTGCGCGCCTGGTAATACAGCTAGACCTTGGCGCCAATCAGCTCCGCCACGCGCATGAGCACCGTGGCCGACACGGCATCGGTGCTGCAGCCGCTGTTGGAATCGTGATAGATGGCGATGCAGGTGTTGAGCGTCGGCATGTGGCCCTCCATGTAGTAGTCGAGAAAGTTGGGATGGCCCACGTGCGAGACGTCGCTGCCGCGGTGCGGACCAGGAACGACAGCGCGTACTCTGCCCGAAGAATCTAACTAGCCCTTATCACGACCCACACTTTATGGCCTTAGGCAACCCGCGCACTTTGGACGTGCACGTGATTCCAGTACAAACCTGTGCTATCTACCCTCAACATTCAACATATTTTTTGACCGTAACTAATTGCTCATACCCTTGATCTTGAGTGCAATCACGCGTCATATGCTCCATTGGTATCATCAATCCCTTTAATTTCATCGGCCGTATAAACTCAAGGAACACAATTGACACCACTCATAAATATTTCAACATGGCCGAGAAAAAGGCGGATGCCCCAGCAGCCGGCATGCTCTGGGGTGGCAGGTTCACAGGTCTATAACTATCCCGGGAAACAAGCTTCGGATGCCAGTATACTAACCTTACGGTTCGCAGGTGCGATTGATCCTCTGATGCATAAGTATAATGCTTCCATCCAGTATGACAAGGCTCTTTTTAAAGAAGATATTCTTGGATCAATTGCTTTTGCCCGGGCCAACTCAAAGGCTGGCATTATCACCGAAGACGAGTTTCAGGCGATTGAGCATGGCTTGCTCCAAGTGATGGAAGAATGGAAGCAGGGAACTTTCACCATCATGCCGAATGACGAGGATGTGAGAGGCCCCTCAATTCACTCGACTTCTCGAGGCTAACAGAATGGACCAGATTCATACGGCAAACGAACGTCGCTTAGGAGAGATCATTGGCAAGGACATTGCCGGTAAGCTGCACACGGGTCGCAGCCGCAACGAGCAAGTTGTCTGTGACATGCGCATGTGGTTACGCGATCGGATTCGCGAAGTCGACGGCCAACTGGTCGCATTCCTCAAGGTCATTATCGCACGTGCCGAGTCTGAAATGTAGGTCTAGCCCGCCTCTGCCCAAAAGCGGCCCCCCCTGCTGACTGACAACCTCAGCGACTACATCATGCCTGGATACACCCACCTCCAGCGTGCCCAGCCTGTCCTATGGGGTCAATGGCTGATGTCACATGCCGCTGCGTTCAAGCAGGATCTCGAGCGGTTGCGCCAAGTTTTTGAAAGAGTCAATTTAAGTCCACTTGGTTGTGGCGCTTTGGCCGGTAATCCATTTGGAATTGATCGATATATGATGGCTGAAGAGCTTGGGTTCAGCGGAATAACCTTGAACTCTATGAACACTTCGGCTGACCGCGATTTCATCATTGAGTTTCTTACTTGGAACTCAATCTTCACCAACCACATCAGCAGGTGGGCTGAGGATCTTATTATTTATGGAACGAGTGAATTTGCCTTCGTGCAGCTGGCCGATTCATATACAACGGGGTCCTCGTTGATGCCTAACGTAAGTCTCCTCAGCTCCACGTAACCTATTGTCATAGGTGAAGTGTCAACGGTGCTAACAAGACCTTCGATCTAAAGAAGAAAAATAGCGACTCGCTTGAACTTTTGCGTGGCAAGTCAGGTCGTGCTTTCGGTCAAATGGCTGGCTTAATGATGGTGAGTTGTCATATTGATGTCCTGGCCAGCTGCCTGGCTTAGGGGTGCTTAAGAACGTATTAAGAATGAACGCTAACTATTCACCTTAAGACTATGAAAGGCCTTCCATATTGTTATGCGAAGGATTCTCAGGAGAGCTGGGAACCTATGCTGGATTCTGTTGAGTTTGTGTTGGATAGTATAGGGATAGCTAATGGGGTCATTAGTACCTTGACGGTGCGTCCAGAGCGGATGAGGGCTGCTCTGGACATGACGATGCTTGCCACTGATGTTGCAGAGTGGCTGGTGAGGAAGGGTGTTCCGTTCAGGGAGGCTCACCACATCTCTGGACGCGTCGTTGCCCTGTCCGAGAACACGGAGGTTTCGATGGACCAGCTAACCCTGAAGCAACTACAAGCCATTGACTCTCGGTTTACAGCAGACATTGCGGCGGCATTTGAATATGAATCGAGTGTCGAGGCGAAATCGGCGCCAGGCGGTACCAGCCGATCAGCCGTGCTGGGGCAGATCCAGGAACTCCGTGCTATTTTAGATTAGTCTTCCATACGCACGCACTTCCATAGAAAGCATCGAATCTAAAACGTGCGTCCAGGTAGAAAGGGCGCCGAGTTGAGCTTATTCCAGTCTAGAGGCACCCTCATTTTGCTCAGGTGAGGCGAGATAATTCTTTGACTGCTTCGTTGAAGCCTTGTGAACCCACAAGGCAGAGACAGTGGGGGTGGCGGCGGGCTGCCTCTGCTAAAAGTATAATAGGGTATAATAGGCCTACCGAGGCAGTTAGTGGGCAGACGGCACAGCCTAGCCAAAAAAAAGGTGGCGAATGATGAGGCGCCTGCGACAAGGCATACGCAATCATCCTTCTTGGCCACTTGGCCGTCTTGAACCATCATTTCCAAGTGCAGCCGAACGAGGCTGTTCTTTCGCATCTCCTTCATATCCTTCATCTCCTTCGTCTGCCCTTGAACGCAGAATCCCCGATATTCTCTTCCTTTGTCTTCCTAGCACCTCCATTCCTACCTAGGCATCACGCCACGAGAAGACGCTACACCCAGCACCCTGCTGGACCCCCCGCCTGCACGTCCCCGCAAGCACATCTCCAGAGGCACCACAGTCGGCCGCCCATCGACGACGATGCCTGCCAACCACATTATCCTCGCCTCGGGCGCCGTCGTTGCCGTCTCGGCCGTCGTCGCCGCCGCCATCGCCATCTACGAGTCCCCCGAGGTGCGTCGCTACACCGACGACGTCCGCCGCCGCATCGCCATTGCCCTGCAGTCCCTCGGCGACGGCATCAACCCGCCCCTCCGCGAGCCCCGGTATAACAGGCCCGAAGACGCCGAGGGCTTCCTCGAGTCGCGCCGCGGCGCCGGCGCCGAGCCGGGCGTCGACGCTGACGATGCCACCCGTCGCAGCCAGCGCGAGGAGCTCATGTACTGGAACGCCGTCCGCCTGCGCAAGCAGCTCGAGGACGGGCTCGCCAGGCACGCCGCGCAACAAGGCGATGCTGCACCGACCCCGGCCGCCATCGAGGACCGCCCGCGACCGGATCGGGGCACCTCGTTTGATGACTTTCTGAAGCCGGCACACAGCGAGGAGACGGGCGCGTTTGTCGTCAGTGGTGTGCAGGCAAACGAGGGTACGGGCCAGCTCCGCCACCGCGCCCGTGGCTTCTCCGCCGCTGCCGTGTACTCGAACCCGTTTGGGGACGAGCACCATATCGATCCGCAGGAACTCGGCGACATGGGCCTCGGAACCGGCCGCCTGATGCAGGAAAGCCACAGCGACATTTATAGCGCCACCACGCGCGAAGAGGACCGCCAGACAGAGACAACCGCCACCGTCGAGGCCTCGTCGCCCTCGCTCATCGACTTTGGCACCGAGACGGTGCCGCATCCCGCGGCTGCGCAGAGGGACCTCCAGCAGCAGGTTTCTGCCGGCCACGTCCCGGAGGAGGCCTATTCGTCGATACAGGCGTGGGCGCGCGACTCGGGCTTCTACTCCCCGCTGCCCGTCACGCCGCTCGGACCCGTCTCCGAGGCCGAAGTGCTGAGCGACGGCGAGCTTACCCCGACTGACTCCGTGTCCATTATCGGCTCGGGCGAGGACGTTGCTCACGTGGGCGCGAGTGGCATGCCGTTTGATGTCCTGAGCGAGACGGACGGCATGCTGACGCCTGCGCATAGTTGGTCCGAGGTGGGTAGCCAGGTGAGCGAGAACGAGTACGCACAAGCCCACCACGCATAATGTCCAGGTCCTCCAAATGTACGTTTTTCAGGTCCAGTGTGTTTGTCTAGTTGTCTGTTTTAAAGCCCCCCCCCGGTGGCCGGCGTTGGTGGAAATCATTGCAGCGATATGCTGCCTACTGTCGAAGTCGACCTTTCAATACAACATCATTTCTTTACCGCCAGATGAGTCAATATACATTGCTCGTGTGATTCTCGATTGAATGCGAATCATATCTCTACCCCCAACAAAACAACATACATTGCTCGTGTGATTCTCTACCGAATATACAGAAAGTCTCTACATTTTCTTGCTCTTGAGGTATTCATAATCCGGCAAATAACTCTCCGTCAAGCGCACCATGTAGTCGCCCACCTCGGCCCCATACAGCTCGCGCCAGCTCGCATACTTGGCTTCCAGCTGCAGCCAGCGCGCGCTCTTGGACCTGTCCACGCCCGTCGACTCCCATATGCCCTGCACGTAGCTCTTGTGGATGGGCGCGAGGCCGTCGGTCGACTGGGCGTCCCAGCTCTCGAGCACCTGCGCGGGGTCCATGCCGACGACGCGCGCGAGCCGGTGCACCGCGTCCCCCTCGAGCACATCGTCGGCGTCGAGTACGAGGGGCACCCCCCGCTCCCCCGGCCGCCCATCGCCGCCTGCCGCCGCCGCGGCGTACCAGTCATACAGCTGCCGCGCGAGGCCGAGCCCGTGCGCACGCGCGCGCGTCGTCTGCGCCGTGTTGGGCGGCGTGCCCGCGCGCGTCTCGGTGCGCCACCACGAGTCGACCATGAGCGCCGGGTGGCGGACCAAAAACACGGGCACAAACGAGAGCAGGTACTTGTCGGTCAGCATCGTCGGGTTGGTCTGCGGCGGGGCCGCCGCCTCGGAGAGGGTGAGCTCGGCGGCGTACGCGCCGCTCTTGGTGGCCTCGTACAGGCTCGACGGCGCCCAGACCTGCGCGCAGTGGCTCTTGAGGAACAAGGCGTTGCCCTGGATATATCTTGTTAGAATTGGGGGGGCAGGGAGGGAAAGGGGGAAGGGTACGTTTTGGTGGGCAGTCGCCCGCGCGGCCTCCATCGCGGCAAAGCTCGCGCGCAGCTGCCGCACGTACTCGGCGCGCGCGGCGGGCGCCGCCGAGGCGGACACGGACGGGCTAAAGTGCTCGAGCGCGTAGAGGTAGGCCGCGTGCAGGTGGTAGCCCGACGCCTCCCAGCCGCGCTGCTGCGAGAGCAGCTTGACGAGCAGGTTGGACAGCGTTCGGGGACAGCTGAGGAAGAAGACGTCGGCGGGACGGGGCTTGGTCATGATGTGTATGCATGCGTGTGTGTGAAGAAGTTGGGTATGAGTTTTTGTATGCTGCTCAAGGTTGGCCCATGGAGTAGAGAGAATCTTTTTATTTTCGTCGATGCGAGTTTACGTGGCACATGTCCAACACACGGCGGGAAACGCCCGCTTTCCTATATTCCTGAACCGCACCCGTTCTCGGGATCCTCCACCCGCGTTGGGGTTTCCCAAGTTTCATGGTTCGTGTCGCTGGGCCGATCCTCTGCCGGCTGGGGACTCGGGCATATCGAGTTGTCCGGAGTGCGAATACGTTGGGGACATATGGCACTGACCTTCGGCCTGTCGGCCGACGCGCGATGTGCCGTGGTCGTATTAATATATGCTATCCCTGTCAGAATTTTGGGGCCATCTATTATTATCGTCTTCATATAGAGACTGCAGGATGGGTATATACAGCGTAGTGTACTCTATTTTAGTAATTCAGGGCTCATAGTTAACATCAGTGTCGGAATATGCAGGTGAAGGTCGCCGTGTGCGTCCTGCAATGCTGGGCTGTCTGAATGAATACGGTTGCTTCCTGTTTGTTGTCTCCGTGACTGTTGCAAAGATTGCTCGCGGTGGCTGCCAACTCTGCCTCACTGCTCTAGCGACGAATGTCTCCTGCTGCTGTTGAGCCACTTCGTTGCATTTCTTCACCCAGTTGCTTCTTGCATGAGGGGTCCACCGGCACAGTCCGAATCTTTTTCAAAAAAATTGATTTCAAAATTAAACATTCAGAAGGACAACCCGCTTACGGTCGGCCGAGCTGAAACCCTGTGGGAGAACTCCATACAACGATCGAAAGCTTACTCAACGGACCCCAGGGCCTCCCCGATGAACACCACAACACAGCCCTATTGAACCTTGAAGTTGGCAGTTGTAATATGCCCCCAGAAACGACGAGTTATAAACTTACACACTAAAGAGGCGGACCACAAATGCAATTGTTCGTCACCTGGAGTTTGTCAGGCCATGAGAATGCCGGTGGAAAGCAGAACCGATGTCTTCCCCGGTTGGGAACTTACACCTTCACATTTGCCCCAGTTCAATCCTTTACTGATGCAAGAAATCCCGCAGAGAATGCTCTAGAGGTGCGAAACGTATCAGCGCCGTCCCAAGAATGAAGCTCCGTAATGGAAGCAGGTGGTAGAAGTACGCCAGGGAGAAGAAGGCAGAGATCGTCTCGCTTTGTGATTTGTACACTTGTCGGACTGGCCAATGCGGCCCTGACAAATGCGGTGTGTAGGAGGGCGTCTTCATTTTATCGACAAGGTGCTCGAGGCAAAGCTCAATGTGAGGGAGAAAGAGGTATGAACGGTGAGCCCAGATAATGAAGACTGTGTGATGTTCTCAGAATTCAGTAAGATCGTTGTGGTAGTCTGTTCGAGGATATTTGGAAGGAGTGTCCCAGGGTGAACAGAGGTATATATAAGTATTGGTTATAATCACAGCAGCAACATACATTATCTGTAGAATAGGCACCATGGACACCATCCTTCTCAAGGTGTCTCGGCTCCGGCATCGCGCCGTCATATTCGAGTCTTGCCGGGCGCCGCATCGGCAGTGATAAGCCCCGCACTCCTGTATGGCATCGCGCCTCAGTCTCCGTCCTGTCTCGTTGTATCTGTCCATTTTGATGAAGATCATGTTCGATCGTGCTTGCGCCTTCGTGAAGGTACCAACAGTGTCATATATCTGTTCACTCCTCTCGCCTCGTCGTGTGTCATGCGACACTGCCTGCTACTCAGCTTGTCAGCCACGGCGGTTTATGCCCCGGAGCAGGCGTTATCACGCTATGCAGTGACTCTTCATATGTCGGCTTGATGGAAGAGGAAAGAGGTTGACTAGTCACGAGGGAGACCCATATGGGGCGCGTCTACCGCGTTATGCGAACTAATTTACGAATGTACCCCTTGTCGCAGCTGTCAAAAACACTCGATTATTAGTATCTACATCAATTGCGATGTTGTGTGATACCGCCTGTTCAGCAACCGTCCCGATGCGTACTGTCAATCCATGACTTGCTCAAGCCTGCGCCTTGAGCTTCTCCAGACGCGCCCTCGTCCCCGCAACGACCCTTTCCTCGTCCCAGATGCCCGTGACACTAGGGTGCTCAATGACCTTGGACGCCCACTTGTAGAAGTTGGGCGTCTTGGTCGGAAGGTCCTTGATGAGGCTGTCCGTGACGACGCCGTGCTTGGGCAGGGCAAAGAGTCTCAGCAAGAAGGATCCGGTGAGGACCTAGCATCAAGTCAGAATGAAAACCGTACGCTTTGATTTCTCAGATGGAAAATGTACACACCTCGGCTAGGGTGAGGGTCTTGCTCCCGCCAAAGTACGGAGCCGCGTCGGCCAGCAGCGGCTCAACCTCTTTGGCGAGCTGCTTGACAAACTCGGCGGCGGCCTCTTCGGCCTCGGCGTCCGTCTTGGCGAACGCGACCTTTGTGCTCAAGCTGTTGACCTTTGTAAAGTAGGCGTCGACGAAAAAGTTGATGCGTGCGCGCTGCCATCCGTGTGAGCCGGCCTGGGGAGGACGACAAGTGACAAGGAAGGGAGGGGTCTTACCTGGAGCGCCGCCTCTGGCGTGCCTGCCGTCGGGACGAGGTGCGAAGGGTGCGCGTCGGCGAGGAACTGGGCGACGACGGCAGACTCGGTGACAATGTGGCCGTTGTAGGACAGGCTGGGGACGAGGCCGCGCGGGTTAATGGCCAGGTACTCGGCGGTGCGCGGGACGGAGAGGTCAATGATTTCCTCTTCAAAGGGGATGCCCAGCTCGGCGAGAGCGATGTGAGCACGGTGAGCCCCTCAAGGTGGTATTTTATTAGTTGCTGGTGGTGAGTGATGGGTGGCCGGGGTTGACTTACAAGGGCAGGCGTGGTTGGTGTAGAGCTTGATGGTAGCAGCCATTGGGTTGTCGTGTTCCAAGTTTTTCGAAAACTGCCAGAGAGTTGGTAAAGAATGGAAACGAGTATCCTAGTTCTGTATTCTGGCACAGGATTAATAGATGAATCCGGCGATTTGAATTCCGCCATGACCCCGGGCCGTGATGCGGGGTTTGGTTTGTAATACAACAAATGATGCCATCGACGATGAGGATGGAGTGCGTACTAGGAGATAGGGCGGCAAGTGGCCTTGAAACGCAGCCAATAAAGACAACTCCGCACAGAGTACGGGATCGACAGCCACTTTGCGGGAAACAAACATGTTTGTCATCGGGCTCTGACAATCGGCTTCAACATGATGGCGTCCTACGGACTAGTCCGCTGCAGAAACTCCGCCATTAAATCCGACTGCCGTGCTGCCGAAAATCGTTGGTGAATGAACACTTTTATTTTGCACTGTTATGGTGAGGCTGATTTGCCATGCGACTTTTGAAGAGATGCGCTCTATAATGCGCACTTGTCATACAGCCTTAGCCGTAGCAGCCTCCGCCCGCCCGACACCGGCACTCTCGACACTCGCCGCCGCCGAGCCGCGCAGAACCGGCTCGCCCTCGTCCCCCTCACACGCGCGGCCAATCCTGCCGGCCGCGCGATCGCGCCTCTCCAGGTACGCAATGAGCAGGACCAGGGGGATGAGCAGCGCGCCCGTGATCGCGCTTGCAACATAGCCCTTTTGGTAGTTTGGCGCGTCGGTGACGGGGAAGAAGAGCAGCGGCCACCACGTGACAAAGGCAAAGTCAAACGAGTTCATCCAGCCCGTCGTGATGGCGCGTAGCTGGAAGTCGTGCGCCGTGACGTCCGTCATCCACGAGTACCAGAGCGCCTGGGGCGCGTAGTTGGTGCCGAGCAGGTAAAAGGCGAAGAACATGGCGCCGTCGTTGGCGGGGTTGGCAATGAGGATGGCGCTGCCGACGATGAAAGTAACGCCGATGACGAGGGACGGCTGCCAGCGGGACTGGATCCGGTCGGACCAGGCTGCGTAGAGGACAGTGCTGACAATGGCGCAGGCGTAGATGCCAGTAGGATAGTTGTTCTGCTGAATAACCGTGTATCCGCGCGACTTCATCCAGAGCTGGGGGACGTTGTTGCGCACGGCCTGGATGGCGAGCGAGTATACTACAGGCAAGTCAGTACCGCGTTGCTTCGTTGCAGCCCCGGGGCTCGTACACATGAAAATAAAGGGCAGCAGATAAAACTGCCACGAGAGCAAGACTCGTCGAAAGACACCGAGGTCCCAGTCCTGCTTCTTCATCTGGCCAAGCCGGTCAATGGCCAGCTGCTTCTCCGTCTCGGTCAGAAACCAAGCAGCCTTGTGAGACGGCAGATCGGGAATAATGACCCAGCCTATTGATCAGTTAGATGGGCATGCTTGATGTTCTGCCCGAGTGAGGCGAGTCTCACCAAAGAGAACGACGGGGAGGGTCATGATGGAGACGATGATGAAGAGCCATCTCCAGGCGGGCAGGCTGCCGCGACCGTCAAGCGACGCCAGCAGACCGGCCTGGATCCAGGCGCCCGTCATGCTGCCGAGGTGGCCAAAGACGCAAAAGATGGCAGTGCGCGTGCCGAGCTCGGATCGTTTGTACCAGCTTCCGTAGATGAAATGAGCGCCGACACTAGGACGGCACCGTTAGACAGGAACCGCGCTCATCGCAAAGACCGGACGGCGGCTTACTAGCAGACGGCGGCAAAGGCGCCTTCAAAACCAAACAGGATAAAGAGCTGGTAGACGTGCGAGGTGCGGTACGTGACCAGCGTCAGCACGTTCCACACGACATTGCAGGCGACGAAGACGCATTTCGGGCGCAGCAGCGTCAGCGCGCTCGTGGCGGGGATCTGGAAGACGGCATAGGCGACCAGGTACACCGTGTTCATGTAGTTGAAGTCGTTGCCGCGGAAGTGCAAGTCGCGGCCCATGCCGCTAATGTACGCGCTGCCGTAGCTGGCCTGGTTGACGCCAAAGAGGAACCAGACGAGGGCAAAGTAGGGCAGCAGGGTGAAGTCGAGCTTGATGACGAGGCGGCGTTCGGCCGAGGGGGGGCCCCAAAGGGCGCGCTTGACGGGCTCCATGAGAGTTGCGGGAGAGGAAAGAAAAGAGGGTGAGGGGGTGACGGTCGGGGATTATGAGAGTGAGATGGGTGTATGACGAGATCCGGGGCCGGGTCTATTTCGGTGTCTTGAGGAGCATTTTCTAGAATTAAAATAAAAGTAAGATATAAAAGAAGTCGCTAATCACAACAAGTGGCTATTTCTTTAATCAAGGCAATCAGCAAATTGCTGGTAGTGATTACACCATCTCTGCTTACAGGTGGAAATACCAACTGGACGGCTGCAGGGTAGGGTCCAAGGTAATCAGCCGTATTCAACATCCTGTATCCAACATCTAGTACTGTCTACGAACTACATACTCGATACCCTTACCGAATGACCCAGTCGAACATGAAAGCAGCCTCTGCTTATCCATGACATACTACCAATCCAATCCTCACACCTTGGCGCGCACCCTCAACCCAACCAACGCATGCCTCGCCAGCACAACAAACACAGTCCCTACCAGCAGTGCTATCCCGCAAAACAATATCAAGCCCGAGTACGCGCCGTGCTGCTGGTTCACGAGGGCGCCCGCAATCGGATTGCCAAAGAGCACGCCAACGGCGGCGCACGCGTACAGCGACCCGTTCCGGGACCCCAGCTTGGTCATGTCGGGGGAGATGGACGCCACCATGGCCGGGATGATGGAGAGCATGCAGCCCGACGTGAAGCCGTACAGCACGGCAAAGGCGATGAGCGCCGCGTTGCTCCGCGCCGGCAGCCATACGGCGAGCGTAAAGACGGCGCTGAGCGCGCTGAAGAGGATCATGACGTTGAAGACGCCGTACTTGTCGCCGAAATGGGCCGGCAGGATACGACCAAAGGTTCTGTCAGAGTCTTGTTAGCATCCAGCATCCGGTGCGTATTTTACACAACTACAAGAAAAAACCTTGTATACATACGAGGCCGCATTGATAATCGACACCATGTACATGGCTAGCTGCGGCGACATGCCCTCCGCCTTGGCCTGCGTGATGATAAAGTTGAACGGCAGAAAGCCACCGAGGTAGATGATGAAGCCGCCGATGCTCAGGAGCAGAAACGGCCTTTCGGAAAAGGGCGATAGAAAGTCACTCATGCTGAACTTGCGACGCAGCGGCGGCAGCCGCGACTTGATGGTCAGGTTGCCGACGACGAGCAGCGCGAGCAGCAGAAAGGCGGTGCACCGCATCGCCCAGCCGAAGCCGACGCGGACGACCAGGTGGTTGACCATGATGGGCAGCACCACGCCGCCAATGCTGGACCCGGCCGTGATGATGCCAAACGCGAGCGCGCGGTGGCGGGCAAACCAGGTCCCGAGCGCGGCAATGGCTATCCAACAGTCAAGAGAGGAACGAGGGTGGGAGGAAAGGGGGTACATACGCGCGTAGAAGAGAAATGAACACCCCATGGCACTGCACACGCTCTGGGCGAGGAAGATTTGGTAGTACTCGGTCGAGATGGACGTCATCATGAGACCAAAGATGTGCAGCAAGGAGCCAATCAGGATGGGAATGCGAGGGCCAAGCTCATCCGTCATTTTGCCCACCAGCGGGCCCTGCCAGAGTTGTCAGTCCTATTTCTCCTCCTGCGCTGAACGATTAGAGTACCCAGAAGAAGAGCATAAAAGACTCTGTCGAGGGGATCCATGCTACTGTACTCGGCGAGTACGCCTTGAGCAGGTTGGTCTTGTAGTAGTCTTGGAATATGCCAATGCCTGCGTCCTTGTTAAACCAGGTACATCAATAGCGAAAAAAGAAACTCACAATTAATCCAGCCAAAACTGGCAAACACGGTGCAGAACCCGCCAAGAACTGCTAGCCAAGCCTCTGCACCGCCATCAGGCGCCGCGCCAAAACCGGGCGCCGCATCCTCGGCCCGTGCCGCATCTAGTCCCGCGAGCGGCCGAGCGCCGTCGCCGGGCTCCTCAGAGGACGACGCCGTGGGCGTTGGCTTTTCCATGGGAGGGGGGGGGGGGGAAGAGGCGGAAACAAAGGCCCCAGGTGGGAAAAGCACGTTCGAGTCAACGTACTTTGTACACACAACAAGCGTACGCGTAGGTAGGAAACGAGGGTTGGGGTCGCATGTTTTTCAGGCGGGATTGTATTTTTTATCATATTAAAACAATAAATCCACTCGCTTGCGTTCGTGGGCCGGGGTTCTCATGCGCGGCCTGATATTAAAGCGGCTCCCGCCTCGCGAGACCGAGTGCCTGCCAGCTGATCCCTGACGAGCTGCGGTTGAAGGCATCTGCACCGAGCACGGAGTACTCCGGTTACGGATACCCTCAGATGGGGCTGCAAATAGTCTGATGAATGACTCGTGTACAGAACCGCCCATTAGTTACTGCCCCACGGAATACTGGCCTGCATGTACTGTATATTGTGTCAAAGGGATATTGGAAGCCTTGTAGCAAATCGTGTAGGTTTCGCATGGACGAGGGCAACAAGACGGAAACTTGACAGCAACAAATGGATTAGGCCCAGCTTACGAATACCCCCAAGTCATGACGATACATGGCTACCCTCGTTGACAGCACACTATCAGTATGAACCCAACGTCCTACAGCAGGGATGCAAGACCCCGGCCGCCTGTCCTTCCGAATCTCCCGTACGGCTATTCAAGGCGGGATCCTAGTTCTTGTGGGTTCCTGACGCCTGTCAACCTCGGAACCTGTCACGCAAGAGTACCGCAACTTAGTGGCCCATGGGGATGGCTTGCGTGTTTCTGGCCCCCAATGAAGATCTGCCGAGCCACCCATCTCGTCTTGTCTCAGCTGGGGCCAAGATTTAGCCGCGCCCAGCATCAGACCGAAAAAGAAGCCTTGGCGATTCGCGCATGAATCGTTGCCGCTCTTTATCCCCATCTACATGAACCTTTCTTCAATACCCGCGAGTTGGGAGCCAGCAATCCGTGTGTTGACCCATCTCGTGTTTCATTTCTCCATCGTCAGCACCTCTCTTTCCAAAAGATACCCCCCCCCCCGGTGTCCGTCAAGAACAAAGGTGGAACCCAGAGTCAGCTCATGGCAGAAACTCCGGGCGGCAATACAGACTGATCCAAGATGATCAATACCCGTCGACGTCTTCACCACGGCAGCCCTCCGAAACCCCACGCCCGGACATGGCTCGGCGACCCGCAGGGCTGAGCTCTCTCAACTGGTCGCTTCTCCTGCTCAAGTCCAAACTCTGGCCCCCAAGAGCGCATCGGCAAACCGAAACCGAAAACCCCGGGGCTGCTTGATACGGCGGCGATGGGAGAAGTCGGGACATGGCAAAAGGCATTGTGCGAAAATAAAGTAAAAGGTTTATTTTAGCATCCAGTCCGCGTGGGGAGTGGCAGTAGTTATGCACGGGTTGGCAGTGCGTGTTGGCCGCGATTCATTCGAGACCCCCCATTGTCTTGCATCTTCAATCTCCCAATTCCCATCTCTCTAACTACCTGTGCGGTGCTTGTTGCTTTGCGGTTGGCCCATCGTGAACGAGCACCGAGTATAGTAGATCTGGTCGTCTAACCCTTGAAGCCGCCCTTGACTCCCCTGCCGTCGGTCTTCTCGTCCGCTTAAACGTACCTCAGCGGAGCCGCTCCAGAAAAAAAAACATGTTGCTTCATACACCGAGGGCTAATTATGCCGCGATAAGCCGACTGTGTGTGGCGAGAAGTGGGAGGGTCGAGTTTCGGACACGGCGAGCTGTCCCGATACGGCAACTGATATAGATGGCGGCTGCAAGCCCATGCTGCACGTCTGAAGCTTATTCTGACCTCCTTGGCCCACTACAAATGTGTCTCTCCAGTTGGCTGGCCAGGCTCTTCCGTCGGGCCAACAGACATGGCATCCAACCAACATTGCTAACCTATACGTATGAGCGAGCGTGTTAGAATGAGTCGGGAGTCACCCCGGGGAAGTCTCTAGCTAGGGAAGCAAATTGACTTGACATCGCTGCGAGGATGAAAAACATCACCCGCTGTGCCAATATGCAGGAAACTGCCTCTTTGCCAACACCGCATCCCCACCAAACGTCAAGATATTCTTGGCAACATGCCATCCGAGGACCATACGCCGCGTCCCAAGCCGACATTTCCGGGTATTTTGATTTCATCGCAACTCGACAATCTGTCCCAGACACCCGACGGCATCGCCGCCAAGGTTGGGCTCGAATAGGAAGTTCCCCCGCTTCACGCTCGGGTTTAGGGTTATTTTCAGACTTGTTTCTACTTGCATGCCGCATCCCATCATTGCGGCCGTGCTGCTGCATACATGTCGTGATTTTGTGCCTGCCATCATACCCCGAGCACGTAGTATCACGTCTAGAACAGCAATGGACTGCCCTCGAAAATGGAGTGTTCCGTTGCCCTCGTATTGTTGGCAGGGCCACCAGTCCATGTTGTGTTGCAGATCAGCCTTTCGGTCGCAGCGCAGAGGATCTACTCGTATATATAGCATACTGCTCGTCAAGCTTGGTAGTAGACGTCCCCATATCAAGCTACTTCATCATCACGATTCATACTGGCACCAAGCTTCTTCATCTGATCACTACGCATCCTCGTATCAAGCTTCTTCTCTCACCACGTCATACTCATATCAAACTTCTTCATCTTACCACGAGCCATAGACGCCTGCACCCTCACCATGTCCATCCCGGCTATGCCATTCATCACAGGGCCCGTTGCCGAGCCCCAAGAGCAGCTGCGACTATCCCCTCCCCGAGGGCGTCTGTCCGCCATCATCCCCCTATCCAAAGTCCAAGAGGTGCTCTGGGTCGACTATCTCCGCCAGCCATGGGCTACGCACTACAACCTCACACTCAAGGTCGACCTCACAGGCTCCAACCTCAGCCTCGAGAGCATCATGAACAGTACACCCCTACCTACCATCCCCCAGCTCAGCACACAAAGAAGAAAACATCACTGACACGTCATAGACATTCACAAGCTGGGCAGCAGGCACGACATGCTCCGCACCACCTTTCACATCGACTCCTCGGCGCAGCACACGTCCCAGTCCTACATGGCCGTCCACGACGCCGCCAGCAGCTTCCAGAACATCGCCATCGTCAGCGACGACGCCCGTCTGCAGCAGGCCCTGCGCCGCGGCCTCGACCTGTCCACCGAGTTCCCCGTGCAGTGGATCGTCCACCAGGCCTACTCCGTCGTCGACGGCCGACTCGTCGCCGCCCACACCGTCTACGCCATGGGCCACCACATTGCCGTCGACGGCACGAGCATGAGCCACCTCTCGCGCGAGCTCGTCCAGCTCATCCAAGACGGTGACACCACCACGCCGCCGCCGCCGCCGCCGCCTTCCTACGGTGAATTCGTGCAGCGCCAGGCCGCATATCTGCGCTCGCCCGAGGCGCAAGACGCCGAGGCCTTTTGGCTCGCCCAGATTGCGCACACCACGCCGCACCGGTGGACGCACGCCGCGCCGCTGCCGGCCAGTGCCCCGGGGCACGACTACCGCAAGATGGACACGTGGGCCTTTTTCCCCAGCGACGAGCTCGCCGCGTGGTCGCAGCTGTACCGCACATCGTGGTTCCGCGTCGCCGTGTCCGTCATCGGGCTCGTGACGGCCGGGCACGCGCGCCCCGCGCCGCACCACGACAGCACGCTGCAAGTGGCCTTTGGCGCGCGCGCGCCGTCCTTTGCCGGGTGCGTGTCGCACATGGCCAACACGATGCCGATCCGGCAGCCCGTCTCCTCCCTTCTCCGTCGCAGCGGCAGCGCCACGTTTGCCGAGCTCGTGCAGCTCGTCGGCAAAAACATTTCGCAGGCCAAGAAGAATGAAATGTACCCGTTCCTGTCGCTGGTCGAGGCGGCGGCGCGTGACGGCGAGGACACGGCCGCCGCGAGCAGAGTCGCCGTGACGCTCAGCCCGCGGCTGGCCGACGACCGGTGCACGCTGTACCCGGTCAACGGCGTCTGGGACCTCTTCTTCTGCTTCCTCGAGCACGCCGACGGGGGCGTCGCGCTCGGCGTCATCAGCGACCCGGCCGTCTTCGGCCCTGCTGCGCTCGCCGCCCTCCGCGCCGACGTCCTGCGCACCGTAGCGCTCTCGCAGCAGACGCCCGACTTCCCGCTGACATCGGCGCTGTCGTGCCTGGCTGACCGGCAAGTGGCCACGCTGGCGGGCGGGCCAGACGTGGAAGACGTCGACGCCGTCATCGCGGCCCGCGTCGTCTCCGACTGGATCCGCAGCCGCGCCGCGACCCAACCGGACGAAATCGCGCTCAGCAACGGCGAGGACGGCACGTCCTTAACGTACGGCGCGCTCGACGCCTCGTCGGACCGCAAGGCAGTGCACCTGCAGCGTCTCGGCGCCGGCCGCAACGACGTCGTGGTGCTACAACTCGGCGCCGTCTTCGACATGGTGGCGTGGATCCTCGCCGTGCACAAGGCCGGTGCCTGCTTCGTGGTCCTGGACCGACAGCTGCCGCTCGCCCGGAAGCAGGCCATCTTGCGCGTCGCCGATGCCAAGCTCTTCGTCTCGGATGCCTTTGACGACGCCTACTTTGCCGACTGCGCCACGCCGCCCACGACGGTCAGCGTCTGGGCCGACACCGCCGTCCCCGCCGATGCCCACTTGGCACCCGTCTCCGGGGCCGCGCCGACCGACCTCGCCTACCTCGTCTTCACGTCCGGCTCGACGGGCCTGCCCAAGGCCATCGAGGTGGAACACCAGAACCTCAGCAGCTACGTGAGCGCCACGCGCGCCGTGGTGCCCGTCGGCCGGGGCTCCCGCGTGCTGCAGTTCGCCCCCTTTGCCTTTGATGCGTCGGTCCTCGAGTGGGCCGTGACGCTGTCCTACGGCGGCACGCTCTGCTTCGTGCAGCACCCGGCGCTGCTCGTCGGCGACTACCTCGCCGACATGGTGGACCTGAACCAGATCAACTTTTTCCACACCACGCCGTCCGTACTCGCCACCATCCCGGACGGCCGCCGGCTGCCGTCGCTGCGCGCGCTGTCCGTCGGCGGCGAGGCCTCCTCCGCCGGCCTGCTCGACAAGTGGAGTCGCCGGCTGCATCTCATCCACGCCTACGGCCCGACCGAGACGACTGTGATCTGCGCCACCGAGCATATCCTCCCTGCGTCCGACACCCTGCCCAGCCCGTCCAACATTGGCCGTGCGAACCCGCACGTGGCGCTGCTCATCTGCCCCGAAGACGCCGAGACGGTGCTCGGCCCCGGCGTGACGGGCGAGATCTGCATCGCCGGGCCGCAAGTCACGCGCGGCTACCGCGGACAGCCGGCGCTGACGGCGGCTCAGTTCCGCACCATGGAGCACAACGGCCGGGTGACGCGCATGTACCGCTCCGGCGACCGCGGGTTTATTGGTGATGACGGCAAGCTGCACATTCTCGGACGCATGAATAATCGCGAGATAAAGCTGCGTGGCTTCCGCATGGACCTGGCCGCCATTGAGAAGAGCATCCTTGACAACTGCCCCGAGGTCATGACGGCGTCGGTACAGGTCGTCGACGACAAGCTGGTCGCCTTTGCGTGCCCGGCAACGCTCCAGGGCGACGCTATCCGGCAGCGCATCGCCCTCGACCTCCCGTCGTACTCCGTGCCCGCCGACATTACCGCCGTCGACAGCTTGCCGCTCAACACCAACGGCAAGGTCGATCATAAGGAGGTGCTGCAGCAATTTGGCGCCAGCACCGGCCCGGCCGCAGCCATCAAGCCTGTCATCGTCACCAAGACGGCCCCCAAGAAGAAAGAACTGCAGACCAGTGACTCCAATCTGGTAGACCGCCTCGAGGCTTCTATCACCACCCTCTGGCAAAAGGTTCTCGGCTGCCGCGACGCACCCGGCCCTGACGTCACCTTTTACAACGCCGGTGGCCACAGCATCCTCCTCTCCGCGCTGCACAAGGAACTCGTCACCCTCTACCCAGCTGCCAAGATCTCCCTCCTCGACGTCTTTTACAATCCCACCATTCGGCGGCAAGCGCAGCGTCTCTCCGAGCTCGTCGGCGACGACGGCTTCATCCCCAGCAGCAGCGTCTCCGACGTCTCGGCACAGGACGTCGCGACGCCTGGCAACTCCACCACCGCCACATCCGTGGCCGCGGACGCGCCGCTATTTGCCATTGTCGGCATGGCGGGCCGCTTCCCGGGTGCTGACTCGGTCGAGGCCATGTGGGAGCTTCTCATGGCGCAGCGCGACGGTATCACCACGAGCGACGGTGCCGGTGCGGAGAGCGCAGACCTGGCCGAGGGCGAAGTCTTTGTACCCCGGTACGGCAGCATCAACGGCCTTGAGGATTTCCGCGCCAGCGACTGGAACATGTCCGACGAGGATGCCCAGGTCCTCGATCCGCAAGTATGTCATCGCCCTCCAAACCTCCCACTTTGAACCCACCACTAACACAGGCTTCAGAAACGCATGTTCTTGATGATTGCCGAAGAAGCCCTCCAAGACGCCTCCATCCCCGTACGCACCGTCTCCGGCTCCAACATCGGCACCTTTGTCGGCATCGCCCCCAACACCTACCTGTCCTCGGCCCTCCCCTCCTCCGTGTCCTCCTCGGCCTTTGAGCGCCGCTACAAGGCAGTTCTCGACCCTACCGCCTCGACCCTCACCGCGTACAAACTCAATCTGCTCGGCCCCTCAATGGACGTCTCCGCCGCCTGCGCCTCCTCCCTCGTCGCCGTGCACCAGGCCCTCCGCGCCCTCCGTGCCGGCGACTGCGCCGCCGCCCTTGTCGGTGGCGTCTCCCTCGCCTACCCTCAACTCGGCGGGTACGCGACCTCTGACGGCAAAATCTTCTCCGCACGTGGCCAGTGCCGCCCGCTCGACGCTGCCGCCGACGGCTCCGTGCCGGCGGATGGCGTTGCGGCCGTTGTGCTCAAGCCGCTTGTGGCGGCGCAGACGGACGGCGACCGCGTCTACGCCGTCATTCAAGGCCATGCGATTGGCACCGACGGTGCCGTGGACAAGATTGGCTTCACTGTGCCCAGCTCCTCGGGCCAGGCCAAGGTGATTAGCGCCGCCATGGCGGACGCCCGGCTGGCGCGGCATCAAGGCGTGCGCTATGTCGAGATGCACGGCAGCGGCACGAGTATCGGGGACGCGCTCGAGTACAAGGGCATCGAGCGCGCCGTGGCCGCGTACGAGGCGACTGGCGGGGAGTCGCGGTGCAGCAGCGGCGCCATCTCGCCCACCGGCACCGAGCAGCAGCCGAGTGACACGAAGCAGACCCCCCGCACGCTGTTTGTCGGCTCCAACAAGGGAAACTTTGGCAACGCCGAGGCCGCGTCAGGCCTGTTTTCGCTCATCAAGGCGTCGCTCGCCGTCAGCCGGGGCGTCGTCCCGCCGCTGCGCCAACTCGGCGACTGTAACGAGCTCATGGGCGTGGCCGAGGGGAGCACCGTGCAGCCACTGCGCAAACAGCTGCGGCTAGAAAAGGGCGATCGTGTCGGCGTGACGGCGCTGGGGTACGGCGGTGTTAATGCGCACTGCATCCTGGCCAGCCTCGAGGCGGTTGAGGAGAGGGAGTGAAGCAGCGCGGGGTCGGTCTTTTCGTGTTCATAGTTGAAACGGGATTATATTGGGAGTTGTATACCTGATCCGTGTGGTCAAAATATTGTGCAGAATAGCTGCAAAATAACAAATATGGATGACAAAGTCAGGCCACGTTGCCAGTGAGGCGCGTTGAAGGAAAAAGTGAAAACGCTACTGTGCATTGCAGCGTAATATGACCACGTGAACTGCTGTTGGTTCCGCCCAACACGCCATTTGTCAAACTTTGGCTGTCAATTGACTCGTATAATTTCTCCCATGTATATGAGAAAGCATCACACAAGTCTATGCTATATATAAGATATGAAATTTTAGGGGCGAGATCAGAGACGGATTAATACTAGTAGTGCTCCATCTCTTTGCAAATAGAACCGACTGAAATGGGTTGTGTCTCGCACACGTAAAACAAAGGAACACTGGGTAGGAGATCGCAGACGAGCCCAACGGAAACAAATGGCGAAACAAGAAATAAAAAGCCCAAGCTGGATAGCCGAGTTGTCAAACTCGTGGTGCGCAGAAAACTCCCCCAACCATATCCTCTTCCTTCCATTTTTCCACAAAATGAAATAACAAAATTCAGCAATCATCTCCTCTCCCGAGATAGCTCTCCCATCTCGGAATATCTTTTCTATACGATTTTCCTCTTCTTTCTCTCTTGATTGAACCTCGAACTATCAAGCATCTTCAAAGATGATGTGACTATTCTCAATAACGAACTGCACAGCAATATTCTTGGCGTGCATGTCCGTCATTTCTCGCTCAATGCTCATGTCGCGCATGATTGTCGGCGCAAAGACGACCGCCAGGTTCTTGGGCGACATGAGATTTTCAGGCTCCCGCTGGGCAACGCGCTGCAGATGAAACATGAGAAACTCGAGACAATCGCGGTGGCTCTGGGGCATCGAGTAGAATGTTCTGCGCAGCTGCGCACAACGCTCTACTTCTTCCGATATCGCTGCCAATTATTTAGTACATCGTAACTGGAAAAAAAGACTAGCATCAACGTACCATTCGACTCCAAGACACGGTCATATACATCAAATGTCAATAGTGGCATGGGCAGCTTGCGGAAGTATTGCTTCAGGACACTCGTCACCGCGGTGATATCGAGATCCGGATCGGAAATATCAAAGTGTTCGCTCTTCTCAAAGCCGTCTTTGATCTGGTTGACCTGAGAGTTGCCACCGGTCTTGCGGTAGATACCCTCCTGATCCATGCCGCGCAACTCGACTTCTTCAATGCAACGACTGACGACGCTGGGTATTTGTCGGTGTTCATACTCTGTACGCTCCGACAACTCTGACCCGAAAAGGGTTGACGGAGGCTCGGCTGCGAGAGGCGTTGATGTCATGTTCGCAGACATAGACTTCGGCATGGTATTCTTCTTGCCAAAGAAGCCAAAGGCCTGCTGCTTGTTGGCGGCGTTCGGGCCGCCAAGCCCAGCACCGGCACCAACACCAGCACCAGCACCAGCAGTCGGAGTCAGATCTGCTTGCGTGACTGTCATATTGTACGGAAGGCCTATGCTATCAGCGGTCAAGCCGCCAGGTTGTCCGCCCATTTGACCTGGGCGGTCTCGCTCGTTTTGCTGAAAGGCAACAACGGCGCGGTTGACACCCTTGGCCACGTTCTGAGCCATTGTTTTGGAGCCCTTTTTCCAGTTGAATTTCTTCACTTGGCCCTTGCGTACCTGTACCACAGTCGGGCCAGACTCGACGATGTGCTCTTCGTCATTGTGTACAAGCGTAGCACCAGTAGTCATGCTTGCAGCGTCTAGGTTGACATTGGAGCTGGCAGCACCGCGTTGGCTGTAAATGCCCAGGCCGTTGGACGACGAACGCGGGTCCCCGAGTTGCGACTTGAAGCGTTCCTGCAGCTGGTGCGTCATCTCGTTATTCATGTCGGCGAGCTGGGCATTCTTGGAGGAAAGCTGCTCGAATTCCATCAAGGCTCGGTCACGGTCGGCCGTGGCTTGCGTCTTCTCTTCAAGCAGCTTGTCGCGGCGCTCATGCAACGAGGCAATCTCAGACGACATGGTCACCTTGACCCGCTCTAGCTTCTTGACAAACTCCTTCATGGCAGAGTCCTCAAGCTCCTGGACATCAATCGGAGCCTTGGTTTCTTTGGCCTTTTCTACAAACCCGGCAAGCACCTCGAGTTGACGTATCATGATTTCGGCCTGGGTGTCGAGGACGGAGACAGTCTTGCGCTTTTCAACAAGCTTCTTGTCGAGCGTCTGCAAATCTTTTTCGGTGCTGAATTGTCGCTCGAGCTCGGCAACGCGGAGCTCCGAATGTCGCAGCTGACGCTTGAGCAGTGCCGAGTCCTCGCCCTTGTTCGTGGGGATGGGGCTGCCGATCTCGTGGCCATGCGAATCTTCGGAATGTTGGGGTCTCGACCAACGGGGCGAAACAGTCGATCGCGTCGTCTCGCTTATGCTTCGGGCGTGGCTCTGTCTCGGGGTTTGACTGGACTCGATGCTGCCTGTACGACCGTGTCGGACCGCGTTAGAAACCCGGCGCAAGATCGAGGATGAACCTTCATCGGTTCCAAGGATTCTAGCCATGTCCTCATCCAGCGTGAAATCGGCACCGCTGCTCCATCTGGGTAGTTTTGGCGACACTTTGGGAGACTGACCATCATCTTTGGCACTCGCGGAGCTCCTAGAGCCCGGTGGTGCGGGTGCAGTTCGCGGCTGCATGTAGCTTTCATTAGGAGAAGGTTTCTCGGTCACATTTGGCGCAGGGCCAACTGTAGCGCGTGTTAGTGTAGTACAGGGAGTGCTGGGAGAAACAAGAGCTTACGAGTTCTGTTGGCAGACGGGGGCAGCTCCTTGCGGGCAATGGCCATGCCAGGACCCGACCGTGAAGACTTGGAGTTGCTGTCGTGCGAAAGTGTAGTTGCATCGTCATCGGGTGACCGGGCCTCCTGGGAGATACGGGGTCGCGGCGGGGGGATTGGCTGCTTGATATCGGTAGACTGGGAGCTGTTTGTTCTCGAGGCCTGGAGGCGCTTGCTGCGAGGTGTGTCAGAAGCATCGACATCCGAGGAGGCCTTGGAAGTTTTGTTCCGATCCTTGTCGGTCTTGGAGAGCCTCCGTGAAGGGGCCATGGCTTGTGATATATGATCCGCCGAAGGTTGACGACCCTTCTCCTGGAAGGCGATGTGAGGGGAGGCAGAAGCTTCGGTGCGTCTCTCAGCAGAAGCCTTGGTGTTTCGAGATGAGACATCGGTGCTGTGGTCCGGAGCCGGAGAGGCCTTTGCGGAGCCGTTGGGGGTGGGATCAAGAGCGACGGAAATATAGAAACCATCTGGATCGTTTTGGTTACTGCCATGGCCGGTGGGAAGGATAGCAGAATTTCGGTTTCTCCTGTATGTGCTGGAAGGCAGAGTCAGGGTTTCCTTGTTGGCACTGACATTGTCGACTGAAGGGCGCTCGGGTGACCTGGCGGGGATGGGAGCAGCTCTCGAGTTGTTGCTAAGGCGAGGGGCGGTAGCCTGGGGTCGCGGAGAAGTAGTTGCAGTGTTGTCAGAGTCAGCATCTGGTTCGGTGGGGGCAAGCTCCGGGGGCAGAGCAGGCAAGGACTTTTCCGTTATCATGGAGCCGTCGTCCTTGTCCCTGGCTTTCGCGGCAGCGGCAGCTTTAGAGCGTTTTCGGCGACGTGCCATGATGGTCTCATGGCATCCCATGCAAAAGATGCCTTGTGAGGTGCGTGCATAGCGCAGGTTTTCGATTTTGCGTTTGCAGTTTCGGCAACGGAAGCAGGTGGAGCAAAAGGCCTGATCCCCAGTCAAGATGGCGAGATCCTCAATCTTGCTGTTGCAGGCATTGCATGTATATGTACAGTTGTTGCAGACGAGGGAGCCGTCACCTAGGAGGAGGAGGTTGGCATCGGAGTCGAGGAGGGTACCGCAGGTATGGCAGCGGAAACAATCGAGGTGCCATCGTTGGCCAGCTGGAGATGTGTTAACATTGACAAATGATACAGGCGCGAGCGCGGTGCAGTCTAGAGACGCGGGTTTGGGCAGAAACGTACCCAACTCGAAAGCCTTGCCTTCTTCCAGAATCTATAGTAGAGAGAGGGTGGGCTTGTTAGCTTGGGTGGGTGGTTAACGTGGCGCACAACAGCGAGCAAGGAACACACCTCTCCGCAGCCCCTGCAGGGGAAGACATCGTCGGTATCAAGTGAGCCTTCGAGGTATTCGTCGACGATGGCGGTCATGATTGCGAATCAGGGCCGGCGGCCGGGAGGAAAGAGCCGATGGATGCCAATGGCGGGTTATGGCAGCCGAGCCTGGTGGTCGACAGCGAGGAGCGCTGAGGGGCGGGGCGCGCAGGCTGGAGCGCGGAAAGCAAACGACTCGAGCTTTTAGTTGGTTTGAGCGTAGAGAAGCCGTGACATAAGGACGCGGAACGGATGATTGTGTGCTATGAAGATATTCGAGATGGGGGGGGGGGGGCGAATCGGCAGACGCAGCAGGAAGGGGTTGCCAAGGCGGCGTGGAACGGTGTGGGCTGACGACGGTTGGCGGCAGGTGAAGAAGACAGACGCAGGCGCGCAGACAAAGGAAAAAGGAAAGATTTATCGGCGAGAGCCTCGTGGTAATGTATGTCGCAAGCAGTAGGCGTACAGAGGGGGATGTGCGCGGATTGGCACGGTCGACGCAATGACTGTGGGTGAGGGAAAGGCGCAGGCGGACGCAGGTGAGGCGTTGGGTGGGACGGAGGGCCAGGGGTCGGTCAGGAGAGGAAGAGGAGGCAGGGCGCTGCCAAGTTTGTGTGGGAGGCGGTAACTAACTACCTACCTAGTAGCAAACGGGATTCAAGAGGAGGGAAGACGCAGGGAAAGGGAGAAGGGAAAGGGGATAACTATACTCCGTAGACAGTGCGGATAATGAGACGGCGGGTTGAGGTGTAGAACAGAGTTGTCTCGGTCGTATCTGCTGTGACTGATTATGTGCCGGTTGTCGATTCAACGTGACGAGCGATGGGATGGAATCTCGAGGTGGGCAGCGTTTGGTCTTCAGCCGGTTGGTTGGGGGGGTTGGCTTGGAATCGGTAACTATTACCTGGCAAGTAATTCGAATAATAACGTAACTCCTGCAAAATATGCCTCCGTAGGTCGGTACTAAGATAGGTACCTCTAATAGGTGGGTAGGTACCTAGGTACTAAATACGCAGGTTAAGGTAAATGGCCCAAGTAGGTATTACTTGACTAATTGTACTTGCAATGCCAACGCCTCTTGTCCTCCTGCGGTTGTCCCCGCTACGCCTACGCCGTACCTGAGAGGTGCATTTGTCTGGATGATAAATGCTGGCAATGCACGACAATGGCACCTCCCAGTTTCACAGTAGCCGAGTCTCGCTCACTGATTTGATTTTTATCTTTTTTTTATTCTTCTTTTCATTTCCTTCCTGACCACTGGGGCCACATGCAATTCCAGGACCCTCTTCTCGTTACAACTGCACAACTTCACCTCCCGTCCCCTAGCTCAGGTACAGCCGAGACAAACGGATGCATCTGACACTCACATCGCAACCCAACACATGCTCGTTTTCAGGATACAAAAATAGGGCAGCCAAAGCATGGCATTGAAACCGTTCCTCTTGGCCAACCAATAATACCATCTGCTCCTCGAAATATGTAGTCACCTGCCTAGGTAGGCAAAAGGCAAGCACCTAGGTACCTAGGTACCTAGGTACGTAGCTGGACACCCCTCCAGTCCGTCCCCTGGACCCTGTACCCCTGCTTTTGCCCTGGAATCCAGAATCCAGAACCCACTGCTGCAACCCACCTAATAACACCAAATCGCCTTCGGACACTTTCATCTGTGTAATTCGTAATTGGTACCATCAACCCATCCTGTCCTCAGGCCGGTCAGTGGCTGGATAGCATCAGCCACCCACGATGATTCCATCTTCCATCGCGGTTGTACTGCCAACTAAGACGTTGCCGCGGCTGTACTGGCTTGCTGACCAAGTTTGACGACGAAACAAAAACATCATTTCGAGACGCTCCGGTCGCCAGCAGCTGAGCCTACGACTGACATTTCCAATACATACATAGCTTCATTCATCCCCACGGAGTTTATACGGATATACGGTTAAAATAGACTAACTAGACAAGACAAGCGCTGATGAGCTGGTGATACGTCAATGGTGTTAACAATGGTGGCATTCTTGCTAGTTACGGATCTCACTTCGTAGTTATTACAGCACAAACACAACCGGCCATCCCAAACTAGAATACCATGGTCCACAAACTGATCCAGATTCATCGATATCTTGCCGCCTTTCCACCCACATCAAGGTGAAGAAGGCCCCATGCCATGCTGGGATATTGCCTCGATATACGCACCAAAATCTACAAATGTACGGATAAATGACTTGCATAATTCTTTGAAAGGCTCTGCAGTGGAATCTAGCCGACGGTGCGTGCTGCGTGTTGCTAGGGATGGATGCAACCCGTGCAGCGCAGGGAGAGCTGATCGCTTCCAAGTCTGGCAGGATCCTCGTTTATTCCTTTCTTCCGCTCCGCATCATGAGATCCCTTTAGTTTCTACAAATTACCGAGTATTGCATCTCAATTGTATTTTCTTCTTTTCCGGGTCTCGCGCCTTCTCGCACCCAAGTTCCGAGCCACCCTGCCGGGAAAACCTTCTGCCCCGGCTAGCACCATTTACATATGTAAACACAGTTTCTTTTTCACCGTTTACCTGCTCGTCAACGTGGCTGTGGCGCTGTTTCGTGTGCCCCCTCAATGATCTTCACTCACCTTCTAACTACAGCGGCTTGGCGGTCGCCCTTGGTCAAGCCCACCATCTTGATCGCCCTGTATACAATCCAGCAACCGCCGCCACACGACCACACGAGCCATCGACTTCGTCAAGCCCACCCCTCCGTATAAAGACAGTATAGCTACAGATGAGTATCCTTCTTGTTTTCACCTGCCCCGTGCCGACAGGCTCGGTTGATTCCAGACTCTAGTTCGCACAGACTTTCGCAGCCCCTAGTCTGCAACGGCATCTCCCCGCTCGCGTCAGGGGTAAATAAGTGCGCCATGTTTCGCACATCCTTTGCCCCCGACACATCCTCGCCGAAACGGCCAGAAGGACACATTGTCAAGTGCAATAATTCCTTTTACTATCATCCGAGAATCTGACTTTATGCTGTGTCACAATGCCATTCGACGCAAGGGGACCGCTCCCATATTTAGGCACTTATACAGTGTCGTGTTCCGCCATGCCTTGGACTTGGTGCAACCCCCTTGCGGTGATCTCTGAGGCTACTCGTGGGGCCTCCAAGGAACAGGGTGGTTTGACTGAAATCGGTGTCACTATTGAGAGCCGCGCTTTATTTCCACGATTGCGATGTGGCGATTCGATTAGACAGTGTCCTACAACCTTACCAAGATCTTGCGCAGGTATTTGTACCACCGCGTGAGGGCATATTCAATGCACTTCCACGAAACAAAAGAGCCAGTACGTAATATCTGCTCGGCTCTCAATATGACGAACAGTTTCAGAGTTCACACACCTTCTTACCAAAGGAGGGTCACATCATGGTTCCTCTGCGTCGGCTCTCTATCTGCAACACAAGCTGTCAAACATCCCCCTCCCCTTTGTCATACCTCTAGCAATGACAAGTGGGATAAACGAGCCGCATGCTTTCCAACCACTCAAATTGCCGAAAAAAGTATAAAAAACATACTCTCATATCGTGACCTGCTATCGCAGCCACAGCAAGTTCCCCTCTCCCTCTGCCCTCTGCCCCAGCCAAACAGAACCTGCATGTTTGTGGTAAACGAGCCCCCCAAAAGTCTCTTTGCATGCATTGTGATTGATCAAGTGGTACACCGCTTCCTGCACGGCCGCAGCGCGTACTGCGGAGACGATGGGATGCGCTGTCAGACTTGTGGGCTTGTTGTCTCAAGTACAGCATCTTGGGCCCGACGCCTCGGATTCGGCGTTTTTTTTTCTTTTTGCACCGGTTGAAGTGACACTATCGCGATGTTGCTGAAACGAGCAGAGGGACGGCGTATTCTTATTCTTGTCCTTTCCGCGTGCTTGTCATACCGCAACCACCATCCCAAGTCACGGCATGAACTTTGTCATCCTGTGTTTACAATCTGCCGAGAAGCGACGGCCCAATCACAAATGTTTCGCTAAAATTATCAACATATGCCATCAATACAAATCCCCCCAGAATGGTATCGCGACCAGCATCCGCCCCAGTCTCACTGCTTCGCCACCAGTCTCTTGACTTTGTCCAGCAGGATGCCGCTCTCGCGACCCAGCTTCTTCTTGCCGTCGCGCCCGACCGTCTTGGCCATGGCCTTCTTGAAGCGGTCCCTCTCCGCCAGCCGCGCGGTCCTCTCCGCCATGCGCGCCTCATAGGCCTGCGCGCGCTCCTCCGTCTCGGCCCGGCGCTCCTCCGCCTGGGCCAGTTGCTTGTCGTAATAGCCCGGGCGGCGCGTGCGCCGGCGGTGGCCATCGCTGGTACCTTCACCAGCGCCCTGGACTTGGGCGGGGTTTTGCGCCACCGACTCGACCTTGATCATGAGCTCCCGCGTCGGATGCATCACCTCATTGGCACCATCCTCCTCGACATCCTTGTCGGCACCGGCAGTGTCCTGTTGAGCCTCGCCGTCGGCAGTTTCTTCTTGCCCCCGGTGCTTAATCTTGGCATAAGCCTTTTTGACCTTGGCCTTGTGAATGAGATCCTTCTTTATCTTTGTGACTGTGTAGGTATAAGTGTCAGCGTCATGACCTTGAGAAAAATCTACCCGTTTTCTGGGGCCTCGATTGGGTGCAGGTTAGGCGAGATGCTTAGCCTGCTGCTCATCCGCGACTGTTGAATGAGAAAAGTTTTGCCCAGTGGACATACCTTTACGACGCCACGGCCCATCCGGTAAGTTATCTGGGCCGACTCTGAATCCCTTGCGGTGCTTTTTCCCTGTCTCGTTGTCGCCGACTGGCTTCTTGGCGGGTTTGGGCGCCATATTGGGCGAAGTCTGATGTGCGAATATCTGGTTTGAAGGCAAACAAGCTCGGCGAGGAAAATCTTAGTGATGTTACATGTACCAATGTACTTGGTATTTCTGCGGACTGTCCGAATCAGGCCAAAAGTGGGTGCGGGCAGTGGAGACTGTATGGCTCACTACTTTGAGAAAATAGCACGACGTGAGAAGGACAGCATCATGTGTTACTGAAGATGGGGTGACGTGCGGCATATTGTTGTACGTTGTACGTTGTTACACGGCAAGATGCAACATGGAAATGTACAAAAGAGGTGTTTTCTGGTGAATGAGATTCAGGCGGCCTGGTGAGCTGGAATCCTAATGGAAGCATTACGGAGAGGTACTTCGCTGCCCATTGTAAATACAGCGAGCTTCAGGTACAGGTAGTAACTGGTCCGACTCCTTCCAAGTGGTGGCCTGTCGTTTACAGCGCCCAATGCCCACTATAACCCGCCATGAATGCCACAAAAAACCACCCAAGCCTCACCGTCCAGGCCTGATCTGTCTCCTCCGCCCAACCAGCAAACTGCCCAGTGGTCGCATGACGAGTGTTGCTGCCCCACCCATCTCCGACACATCTTGCACCCGACTCGTTCGCTCCATGCAGCCTATCCATGATTCACCGCTGTCCGTACTGCTTTCCTCTTTTGTCTTGCTCTTTTCTTGCTCTGCCAGCATCTCCGTCCTTTCCAACCAACGCGCAGACTCTTCCGCGCCATCCATCCGCCGACATTGCCCAAGCGTGTAGCCTCTCGCCGCAGCACCGCCGTCCTACCCGCACCAGTACCATCCCGCTGTCGGAGACGACCGAATCGCACTCCCACACTCTATCGAGCCGTCTAAACCGTTGGCCGTTTTGCATCTCCCGCACCCGGGGCCACAGCTGAGCTGTGGTTCATAATACACGATACGATGCCCATCTTCCAAGAAGACATAGACCACGCCCGCCCGCCTATTGCGTCGCCCCAACGCTCGCCGCCACAGCCAGATGCGAGGCTCCTCGTCAACGACGCATCGCTCGGCTCCAGGCGTCTCTCCGAAGTCAGCTTGCCTGCTGAGTTCTGCGAAGGCCCAATACCAGATAGTCCCGAGCAGCGTCCGGAGGCGCCTATAATTCACAATGAGTCGCACATGATCGATAGATCGGTGCTGATCGAGAGGCTAAAGCGAGGGGGGAGCCCATCATGGATCCCCAGCCCCTACCACGTACGTGTCTGGGCAGTCGTCAAGTGATATCGCCAAGTACTGACATACTTTGTAGCTGGACTCTCGAATACAGAATCCCACTTCACCACAGCCCTCCCAGACGTCACCGCAGTCCCCTGGTCTACTGCCCTCGCCACAAATAACTCCAGAAAAGAACCAGTCCCCCTCGCCAATACACAATCCACTACAGGACGGACTCGGCATCGAGCGCCCGGGCTCTGCTCTGCACAGCGGTGACTTCACCCACGATGAATGCTCCTCTGCCTCCTCTACGCAGGATGAGCGCCACGGCAAAACGCCATCCAGACACCGCCAGGACCACCTCTGCACGGACATGGCCTGGATGGCCACCTCGCCGCCCCGGCCATCCATGGCTCTTGACCGGCACAGCCCGTTTGCTGAGCCTGGTGCCAGCTTCAAGTCGACGCTGTCGTCGTCGTGTTCCTCCACGTTTGCGTACCAGCTACCGACGAGCCCGCTCGCGCAGTCAGTGACCAACGAAGACCAGGGCGCCTTCACCGCGCCGTTCCGTGAGAGCAGCCTCCTTAGCAACAAGATGGACTTGTCCCGCAGCAGCTACGACGAGTCGTCACCGTTCTCATCGCCCTTACGGTCATCACGCGGTGCCCATGGACGTGCCTCGTTCCGCAGGGAAGCGACGTTTCCCTATCAAGCGCATCAGCCACGCCGCTCCTCTGGCTCCGGCATGAATTTTATACACCCAGGATCCTCACCACAGCGCCCCCTTACTCACTCTCGCCGCCCGTCTCTCGGGTCCGAGTCACCCTCGCTTCACGCCTCCATGGTTGGTTCATACGAGGAGAGCATCCTTCAAGGCCGCATGTCTACGACGCCGTCCAAGCCGTTTGATTTCATGGCCCAGATCGGCGTGCTCGGCAAGGGGAAGTGCAAGTCGCGCCTGCGATGCCCACCACACGTCACTCTACCATTCCCCGCCGTCTTTTACAGCTATAGCAACACCAGCGCCGCGCGGTCTCAAAGCAATGATGGGCCGAGTCCGTACGTCGGCCAGATCGACCTCGAGAACGGTCTACCCAACCCGGACGTCGAGGCTGGGAAGCGCAGGGCAGTTCGGCATCAGGCCCAGTCCGCCGACATGGACATGGACTTGGACATGCTCTTGGATGGCTCGCTCCTCCCAGACGACGATACGCCCAATACCGCACCGCTCAAAGCGCCGCCGGGCGGCAGCTACCGCATCCCAGAAAAGGGTCAGATCCAGATCATTGTCAAAAACCAGAACAAGACGGCCGTTAAGCTCTTCCTCGTCCCGTACGACCTCACTGGGATGCCGCCCGGTACCAAGACGTTTGTCCGGCAGCGCAGCTACTCTCACGGGCCCATCATTGATAACCTGCCTAACTTGTCGACCTCTGCTGCCGCCATCGCTATGGACCGCCCGACCCTACGGTACCTCGTCCACCTGCACATCTGCAGCCCCAGCAAAGGTCGTTTTTACCTGTACAAAAGCATCCGTATCGTCTTTGCCAACCGTGTTCCCGAGGGCAAGGAGAAGATGCGCAACGAGACCACGTGTCCCGAGCCGCGCTTCACGCCCTACAAGCCCATCAGGCAGATGCACCCGCCCTTGTCTTCCTCATTTAGCAGCCGCTCCGCCGCCACACTCGCCACTGACAAGGCTCGCCGCCGCCGTAGCCTCGGCGTGCCCCTCAGCAGCGAGGCCGCGCAGCGAGCGCCCTTCTCCACCGCCGCCCTGGGCACCCTCAACACACAGCGCCGGCTCTCTAGTCCGCGTGGCTACCCTGGCGGCGGCCACACGCGCCCTGTCGAGCCCGTGCCGTTTCGCTTCCCCGCACCCCACGACGATGTTGTGCCCGGGGTTGTAGACGACGTTGATGGCCCCCCGCACTCATCGCCGGGTAGTCGCCCCTCGACCTCGGACGCGTGGGGCTACGAGAAGCTCAGCAAAGGTAAGTTCGGCTACGGCAGCAGCCATGTCTTTGCCGGCGGCGATGTCGCGGGCGGCGGGGGCCTACCGGGCGGTGGCAGTCCGACTGAGGGCTTGCTCTCGCAGCGGCTGCGGTCACTGGGTGTTGAGAAGGCTGCGCATGGTATGCCGCCGTTTTGAACTCATCATTAACATGACCAGTAAATCTGTACATATTCAACCATGGAGGAACCTTTCAAAGAAATTAGGAGTCCCTCATTTATTCGGGGAAGCTCACGGCGCAATTTGTTTCATCACCATTCGTTCGGCAATTTGGAATTGGATTCCGTGGCTTTGGGGGGTCTTTTTTTTTTCTTTTTTTAACAATATATAGATAGGTACCTACTAACCAGATCGCTACACAGCGTAGCCGCTCCTTTCATCGTTAGCTTACTAGATTACAAACCCCCCCCCGTCTTTATACATCTCAAAGACAGTCACAATTCCACAACCGATTACCCGAGACGCCGATGCCAGTGTGGTAGTATATATATATAATACAACGGCTACAATTAAATACCGATTCTAACTATCTATGAAAAATACATGGAATACATCTTTTTGCCTCGATAGATCTACTAAGAAAACGCCCTGTACATGTTTTGAGAGGCATAATATATACAACCCCCACGTTATTAAAACCGCCGCCACTTTCCCTTGGGTGGAACGTAGACACGTCCCCATTTCTTGGCCCACGCCCTCCCACGCTTCTCCTTCTTCACATGCAGCTGCGCACCCAGCGTGAGGCGCATCGCAAGCAGATCCTGCAGAGGCATGGCGCCGAGCGCGTCCTGGATAATGGCCTTGTTGAGGCTCGTGCGCTTCTCGCCAGCGCCGGCGATGCTGGCCACCCAGGTATCGGGGAGGTCCACCACGTCGACGGTGGTAAAGGCCTGGTGCAGGAGGGGATACTGCGCCTCGACGCGCTGCAGCTTGGCCGTGACGCCGGCGGACCACGCCGCGAGGGTGCGCAGGCGCAGCCACTCGCGCTGGAGGCTGAGCACGGCTGGCTGCGAGGCCACGAGCA